TAATCAACTACGTCATATATTCTGTTCCCTAATAAAATCGCATAAAATTTATTGCTTACTGAAAAGTGTTCAGATTGTAGTTGTTGAATATAGACTCAAAGATATTATTGAACAGTGTTCATTGCTAGGCAGTCTGGATTTTATCTTCGATAGGCATTTTAGTTTGTATACATCGTATTTTTAGACTAATTTAGCCTTCCATTTTATTATTGAATTCAACACAGTGATGATAATTTGAATATTTTGAGTTATATTAGCTTAGAACTTACGGTGACATGCGGTTTTTAGAGAAAGTAAAATTTGAAGTAATGGATATCAATGACTGTTCTATGACAGATTCGCGTAATTCTGCATATTTTAAAATTAAGATAATGGTACTTGAGGTATCAATACATTTTCCAGGTATAGATTGGCAGCCATTATTCCAAAATAAGCTCTTCAAATTCAATTTCTCCCAAATCTTTGTTACACGTCACACATTATTAATTTTCGATATAGATATTATACTGCTGGAATTACTCACAAGACAACGGGATTACTGCAATTATTACAATTATTTATATGTATTTTGTGACGCCATAATGTTTCAGTAATGCGCAGGCTTGTGTATGGCACATATTTTTTTGTCCCATTCCCATCCCATGGCAATTATGCCTGTCCCATCCCACCCCACCCCATGGGGTTCCCATTGGAATAAAATTCAATAATAATTGTTATATTTAGGTTTAGCGTGTACAAAATAGGACTACATGTACGAATAGGCATGCAAAACAACAAAATATACGGACTTTGTTAACTTTATATTCATAACTATTATACATGTGTCCATCAGCCCCTTCACGCAGTATATTTTTAATGCTGAATATATTTTGCTCTTTATAACTAGCAAGAGAGCTATGCTCAAATATATGGACACGAAGTCCATAACGCGAAATGTTTTACCATCATTTCCCCGAAAATCATACGGTTTTCGTGTCCCACGTGTCCCATGGAAAATACAAATGTGTGCTGTACCATCCCATTCCATGAGACGTTTCCCATGGACAAACCTGGTAATGCGCTTATGTATATAAAAAAAAATGCAAAATTGGCACTTAATATTATGGGTGCTTTAAATTGTGGCTAGTGTCTTCATTTGCTACTTCGATCGACAGTTTAAATTAGAATCATTAGAACGAGCTTGAAATGCATTATTTATAGAAGAGGGACACACTAATAAAAACTAGTTCAGTTTAACTTATATTTTGCAGTAGAATGCTAGTTTTTTCGGTACGGTTTAGCCTAACATTGACGATAATCTAATGAGTTGTTACCCGTTTTTTTGTCGAACAAGGTTTTACATACATCATATACATAATTATGCTAGTATTTATTGGTGTGTTGTGTCCCCGCTTGCTTCATCGTATTTGCTGTTTTGATGGAGTGTTATAATTTCTTTAATTAGTTCCGCGGGACGAAAAAAGGCACAATTTGTGGCACATTTATTTGCTGGGTTCATATAATTGGGTTGCGTTTTAGTTGTTGTTGATATTGTTGAGGTGATTCTTATAATGTAATCGCAGTCGGGCATTGAGATTTTCTGGTTTTATACGTAGCAAATCGCGTTTTTAAAGGATGAAGGAAGAAAAGCATGCGACACGCGCTAAATGGTCTAAACGTCATTTAGGGGTGCTCTTCGCCTTAAACTCCTAATTGATTGGCAAAGTCAGAATGATAAAAAATGACATGAGGAATTAGGTCTATTCATATTTCAGCCTATCGTCGCAATCCAGATAATATCCTAGAATAGTTGGGATTTGTGTTTAAGTAGTGTGGCATTAGTGTCAAACAAAACGGATCATCTTTACAGATACCCTGGGATTTAACTGTCTATTTCGGTAAAATGACAGCATCGGCAGGTTAGAATTATATTTGTAATACGAAAACCTCATCTCTCAAGTATTCAAAGACTTGAAAATTGAGTGATATTTGGATAATTATTTCAGACTTTTAATTTAAGTGAAGTGAAAAGTGCATATCGACCTAGTTTACTGAAACTTTTTGGGTACAATCTTACGCAAACAGAAGTTCGAGTGTGGAATACGTTTCTTCATTTTCGTAGAAATAATTAGGAATTTATGTTTTTTTTGGAGGTGGGGAGAAGGGGGGAGGTCACCTTGTATTTTATGCTCCTTGTTGTTGCTCCGAACTGATTCAGACAAGCGTAAAACTAGATTTACAGAGGTCATGTACAGAGGCCATTCGTGTTGAATAGACCGTAATGTCTTCGTCGGGCAAGGCTTACCCACTTTCTTATTTAAGATTGGCTTAATAAATGCAATGCACCACACGCTTTGAATGGAATTATGCCTTCTTACTTCAAATTTGGTACCATATTTTGGAAGCGTCATATTCTGATTAGGCTAATTATTTTACGGTTCATACTTATTTAATTAACATATTTTACGATGATGACGGTGATAATGACGATGACGGGTTGAATACAATTTTACTCCGTACAATCGATTGACGTATTATTAGATAATGAATATTCATTCATTCATTCCATTAGTCTTGAATTATGGCGAGTAGGTAGTAAAAGTTCCTTCCTGATATGGAGGAAAGGAAACGGATCCAAATGATCTTAACGTTCCATCAACTATAAGAATCTTTTACTTTTTTTTTTGAAAGCTCTATTGTCTGGATTAGGTCATGTACGGGACAAGTTTATCGTTCTGATTTATTTATTTTTTCTTGTTTTTATCAGATGAGATGGAGATTTGTAATTTAATTGCTTTTTTTAAGCTTGAAGTTCACATCAATCAGAGGTTTGTTATTAATTTTGGGGAACTTTTTTAAACCTCCCGTAGTATGTGAACCAAGCTGTCGGCCACCGGAACGTAGTATGTGTACCAGGTTAGGGTTAGGCCATAATTTCAGGTACAAATACTACGAGAGTCACTTGACTGGTCCCCGAACTCGTAATAAAACTAAAATGAGGAAAATTGGAATAAAATTTAGGCCTAACCCTAACCTGGTACACATACTAAGTTCCGGTGTCCGCCATCTTGGTTCACATACTACGGGAGCGCCAGGAAATCTACTTAATCAATATAGTAGTAAAAAAATTTTGCAACGGACTTTATTTTCTCGCTCGTAATATATTATTAGATTTTTTTCCCATCGTATGATTATGCAAATCAATTCGTATATTTCAAATACTTTGAATTACATTGTGTCAAAATAGCTGGTGATTGATAATATGTTTTTGGTTTTAGGTTAGCAAATAGTTTTCTGAGTATTTCTTTATTTAAATTGTTCTGACTTCTGATATAAAATATATAATTTGTATTATTGTCATATTGGGTTCAAAACGATATATTGTTAAGGTTAGTAGATATAATAAAGTATATATAAAAAGTATATAAATTTATGAAGATAATCTAAATCTTTTCCGGTTTGTTTAGTTCAGACTGGCTGATGGGTGTAATCAAAATTTGAAAAAAAAATTATACATTGATGTTTTTGAGTAAACACTATTTGCTTTTGACTGATAAGCCGAGGGATTTACGTCAGAGAATTAATAGACTTGTCTGAATACCGTAGATTGCAATTCCGATATGTAACCGCCCGTGAAGGATGGGCTACGGTCGTCTAAATCCATTGATTTTTATTCTCGTTACTAAGACGAAACTAGATGGTTGTTAGCCAGCAGAAGCAGTCTTTTCTAGAGAATTTAACATCGTAAACGATACTTTAAACTAAAGAATATAAAATAGCCATTCGATTAATAACGTGAAAATCGCTTTGTCATTTCTCGTAATTGCTGATGTTTACGTAAACAAAAATCGCGCACCGCAGTTTTCAGGATGTAGCTTGATTTGTTTTTTTAACATTGGATCCACACACTTCTGCTTTTCCTTTCAAAATTTATCAGCCACAGATAGGAAAAAATGACTGGCATATTTGATCTATGCTTACAATTGAATCAGAATATAGTTTCGATTATTCTACCTGTACCATTCAACTCAGAATTAGCGTACCTTCGGTCGAGTTTCTGCCATAATCTTACATTGATGGCAACTTACAATTGTGACTTCGTATACCCAGGCCAAATCGGAAATTCTTACTTGTAACTTGGAATACTTTTCCGTTCCAGTGTTTTCCATTCTATGATTATACAGAAAGTGAAATTTATATTCAAATTATTATTTCTTCAAAACTCCATAATTTTATAATTATAAGATAACGGGTGTTTGAGAATAATAAATTAGATTTAAAAATTGGTGAGCATAGTTATTTATTCATTTATCGATTGATTCCTGTAACATACATAGTGGACATAGAGTCTGTTTTTATAAGGAATATAAGAGAAAGATTTTCCGCCTTGGGATACATTTGACTCCTTCGCTATTCAAAAAAATATTTGTGTATCGGATTTATTTTCTTACAATAACAAATAGCTGTGTTTTGTTCAGTGACATTTAGTTATACTAGAAATATAGTTTCGGCGAGAAACGTGAAGATACACGGAAAAGGTTTCAATTGTAGTTTGATTTGATATAGAGATTAATTGTTTATAAATCATATGTATCTGTAAAACAGGTTGTGTACGAACTTCAAATAAAGAGACCAACACTCCAGCTTTCGTCAGAAGTTTGCGTGGGATTTACGCTTAGTAAAACGATCTTACTCACGTACTGATGATTAAAAAAATGCAAGTGAAAAATCAGAGTTATTAATGGTGCTTTGTCAGGTCCTGAATTAGTCATTTTAGTACGGCTTGCTTTGTTTTTGATTATAGTCTCTAGAAAAGTATTGGATCGAGTTTTCTCCTCCGTGGGCCTATTCATTATACAGTTTTAGCGAATAAAACTGAATACGCGGTGCACGGAGCGTGATTTACTGGGTTCCTGAAGCTGACAGCTCGAAAATTAATCTGATTATGTAACTACTTACTGTGTTGTTATTGTCAATGTTACGGATTCCTACGTAATACACTAATTTTCTCGATTTCCCATATAGAATAAATTCAGTATCCTATACGTATATGTGAGACGCACGAATTGAAAGTCATTCTCTCTTAAAAAAACTTTAGATTTGATATTATTTATCCCAATATGGAAACTGGATAATCGTGTATCGTTCGCTGTGATTGCTGAGCATAAATAACATGATGGGGACAATAAAGGAATTACAGCAATGCGTATACGCAAAAATGGACGAATTGCATCAAAGGGATGAATTGATTTCAGAATTAGAAATGGAAATAGAAGAAAAAGACGAACTCATAAAACAATTAAGCAGTCAACTTGATAAATATAGAAGTATACTTCAGCCAGCTTTGCTACTTCGCGGGCAGGACATGTTGGCAGCTTCCATTCTTCGTCAAAATGGAATTGCTGGTTCAAATCCTTCTGAAAACGAGGAACCACCTGATACTGCGACACCAGATATTCCCCCTCCTTGCCCGCATATAAACATTGAACAACCTTCACCGGTAAAATCGCCATCACATTTTAGCGTTGATGAAGGCGAGGGCGTGGAACTTGAAATTGAAGATATCGATATCGCATGTTCGTATGTTGACGGACAACATGTTTCAAATGATGTTGAAACGGATCAACGAGTTAACGGGCAACAGGTAGAGACGTCGTCAACATCAAGTCTATCTTCTGCTCAAGTTAGTCTCCCAAAATTGAATGGGGATGCCAATAAAAGCGAGTGTGAATGGAAAAACGGTGATATTACCTCTAATGGCCCGGATGGTTCGAAAAGTGTAGTTTCTTTCAAAAGTCTGAACGATGACGATGGAATAATTGAAGAAACGAAAAATGAAAGTAGTGGGAAAAGGTTATCAACGTTTTCAATTCTTAAAAATGTTCCCTGGCCGAAAAAGAAGAAATCTTCAGATCGTCATAGTAAAGTGTCAAACGCATCACAGCGTCCAACTGAAGGTACGTGTCAACACAAATGCACTTGTGCCAAAAAGCCATCTGCAGATGCCCTCGAAGAGTACATATTGGAACAGAGGAATATGTATATGGAATGCTCATTCAGCAATCAAGATTTCAATTCAAATAGTGCCGACAATTCATGTTCAAACAAAAGAAAAATGTTGAGGTGGTTATCTAAAAAACGAAGCTCTTTTGGGAAACCTCGACGTTCATCTAATCTTATGACTGCTTTCATGCCATTTGCGAGCATGGAGGCAAGGAAACATATACACGAAATGCATTCTGTATGGACGAACGGTATGACGTCAGATTTGAAAGGCCGAACAAAAAAGCGATCATGGAGGTCGAGATTCGGACGAACAAGGTCCGAAGCAAAACACCACCTGAATAACAATGACTGCAAATCTGATTGCACCCAATGTGGATGTATAAAATCATGTACACGATCTCGGTCACCGAGTAATCGAAGCTCAAAAACAATGATAAATATTGGCATACAAACGACACCTGTACGTATTAGCATGAGCATCCTAAAAAGGCCCAGTCGTGAAAGTCCGAACTCAAACGGTCTGATGAGATCATTAGTCGTGCCCGAAGACGAAAATAGAAATATATTGACAAGAAAAAGTGCTTTCCCGAATAGTGCTGTCACCCTAGAAAAACCATCGAAAGATATTCCGAATGGATGTCAAAATGTAACCGCCTCCGAGATAGCAATGGAGATTGGTCAAGAAGGAAGTCACGAAAGTACACTATTTATGCCAAATAATGAAAACAATATTGCAAAAGACGGAAACCAAAATATTATTTCGCCTACAGGAGTCGATGGGAACATGGTACATGAACCGTGCGTTGTTTCACCAATGTCTGTGGATGATAGGGCAGAATCAGAATCTGCATGCAAGACGACAAATGAAAGCTGTGAAAAAATGAGCACAGTTGATGAGTCTCAACTAAAATGTAGTCCTTTGAGAAACGCCAATAAGTGTGTTAACAAATCACCAGCTACATGTAGGTCAAAAAGACAAGCGATATCAGGCGAACCTGTTAACCAGAATACAAGAACAATAAAACACACACCTAAGCCTCTGCAGTGAGTAGATGTCACAGTTTATGTATACGATAATACATTATGTATAACACATAAACGTTGGATATATATAGTTGTATTATAACTTTTATCAAATTAAATTTATAACATTTTCTGTTAGATGGCAGAAACAATATATAGCCAATTGGTTTCCAAAATTACCCCACTTGTTCCACTTGTCCCCCATTCGTCCCAATATATGAATCTTATACTTATTAATAATATCTGTCCTTCTGCAAAAGTATTATATTTTTCATAACTAGAACATACCATGAATTCCTTTTTGAAGGCTTACTTCAACCATTTGCTCCACAGTATATATGTATATACTGTTAACATGGTTTCAGAACAGTGGAACAAGTATGAAATAAATTATGGGGAAAGTGTGGCAAAGGATACAAGTGCAGACACACCGCACATTTTTAAAATCTAATTCGAAACTGCCCCAGTTCTGTTAGATTGGGCGTTATGTAATATACCTGTCCTTTTTATATAAACAAACGATTTATAATTACCGTAGTTTAAAACGAAAGATGACATAGAATAGAAGAGCACTAACATTTCTACCAGCTGCGAATTACTTTGAGCAAATATTAGTTTTAGCAATAAAACCAGGTTTTCCATATGTTAAATTGACATTTTATCTGAATTACAACATTCATAGTTAAAATAGGCTTTTTTAAAAAAGTTCTGACTTGTTACAGAAATATATTCGCGTTAGTGTACAATATAACTATTGAATCACATAGAGTTTCCAAATGCCGTTAACTTTGCGCTCCTCTTGCATAAACAGCAACTTCGAATCATGCTATTCGGAGTGCGTAGTATTTAGATAAAAGGTCTGGGTTAGAATGAATTGTATGAAATTAAATTCATGTATAAATAGGTTGGTTTAATATTTACTCTCAAATGGCAACAATATGCCTAACGTCCGATCTTTGATTTTAGAACAAAAAATCTGATACGAGAGTCAATTTTGGACAACGATTTTATGAAGCATTTGGAAAAATGTCAAATCGAAGAGATTGTAAAGAGCATGTATCCCGTGGAATACACTCATTCCAGTATAATCATCAAAGAGGGTACAGTGGGATCGTTGGTGTATGTATTAGAAGGTAAGCTGAATAGACTTCACAATATGTTCCACCTTTTATTTCTCTAGCCTAGATAACCATTTTCGCAGTAAGAGATGCGATATGCTTTTATTCATTCGCTTCTATATAGGTCGCTCCGATGGACCGAGCTATTATTTTTGAAAGTACCTGGAACTTTTCGCCTCGTCATTGCCAATCTACTTATTCATTTCACTCGGATTGAGATGTTAAGCCCAAATGTATTACCTGCAAAGCCAGCATAGTAAAGCTAATGCTACAACCGCCCGGCCACAGTAAACCTGTCAAAAGCACAGGGCACAGGACCTTTAGCCTTCGCCCAAAAAATAACAACACTGTCAACGCTCAAAATAAGAAAACTAGTAATTGTCCAGTTCGGATTAGGAATGCTGATTGCACTGAAATTATTCCTAACTCTAACTCAACCCGGATAATTACTAAGTTGTTATTTTAAAACGCGACGGGAGGTTTTTTCTCAAATCTCACATTTTTGCATTAGTACAAACACAAAAGATACAAAGCACATTCGCGCAGACTTAATTGAAAGCCAACCCTAATTGTTGTTTATTCACTTTTGCTCGGGAGAAGTAACCGTGATAGTGCCCACTACTAGATTGGAAGAGATTAGGTATAGCTATATAGCAAGTTTAACATTCGAGATGTTTGGAACGTGCTACCAGTATTGGTTGATCGGTCATGGCGTGGAGCATAGCAATGCCTAAATTCAATCCCATATTATTCATAAACTCACAGATCATTTTTGATTTTTGTGTTAACTGTTTGACTAAAAATTAATTCTTTGCACGTGCTTTCTTATACCTCCCCGGTATGAGTAGTTGCTATTTGAATTCTGTTTATCGATTGTACAGTTACGTAAAAACAAAACAAAAAAAAGACTATAGTTAACTGAAAAATGATAGTTGAGAATGGAGATGGATGTCCAAACGAGTACATTCGAAATTCGGTACTTTTGATAAAGTAAATTTTTGAATAAAGGGAATAATTTAAAAACATTTTTATTTAAAAATCAGGGGTTTTGAGCCGTCAGCAAAGTAGATCAAAACGTACGATATCTCAACTGGTAAAAAGCAACGCAAAAAAAACCATAGATAATATTTATGCCGTTTCAGATGTGATCATCATGAAGATATAACGATTTATGTAATTTTTCACATGAACTTATCCTCAATTTAAAATCTATTCTATATCTCCTATTTGAAAATATTTTCTCAAAATGTATTCGGAATGGCAAAATATTCGGTATTGTAGCATGTTCACCAAACGTGGTAAGTACTTCTAGTTGGCGTGGCACAAAATTTTTGTATATGTTAATTCCTAACCCCCACTTGGCTATGGCATTCAAAAATACCGTCACTGCGAAGTCACAATCACGTCATAGAGCTTGCCAAAGCCCGAAATGGCATCTCCGCCGACGATAACGAACTCGCTAACGCCAACGATCTCTCTCATATCGGATCGTTACGATGAGAAAACGAGCGAAATAGCTTGCTTAATTTCGGGTGATTGTCGGTGCGTTTTGGACGACAATTCGTATACTTTGACTGGCTTTTATTTCGTCACTGTGACGTTGTAGTGACGTAATTTTAGATGACGTTGTCACTTGTCAGGTGGGGATGAGAAATGACATATGCGAAAATGGTAATGACACGCCAACTAGAAGTACTTGACGGCGTTTAGTGAACTTGCCCCAGGTATTGGCTATTTCTGGGAAGATTTTGTCTTGAAATATGTTTATTCCGTATTCAAGGTATAGTTACCACTTGTCAGCAACTCTAACCTCTCTATTTATTGTAAGTAATGTGACGAGAGGTTAAATAATAAAGAATCATAATAAATATGTAATGAAATATAAACACATTCAACATTATATTGAATCTTTGCAGTATTGCCAGTGCCATGTGCTCTTTTGACGGGAGGACCAAATATATATTTTTATTCATAAATCTATACGCTGCTCTTTTTTATAACCAAATATATATACAGGAAATATTCTTCTCAAATATTGCAAATACGGTATACAGCATAGTGCTTCATACTAAATTTCTTATTATTCGTATTTCAAGCAGTTTTACCACTTGTTCAATGAGAAAGCTTTCGTAGCATTGTATAAAAAGTGGGATTCACTGTTGATAGTTTTCATACGTTTCGTTTTTTTGCCTTCCGTTTACTAAAATTTATCTTTTTTTTTCTCAGAGGGAAAGGTAGAAGTTACAAAAGCCGGAGAACATCTTTGTAACATGGGTCCAGGAAAGGTATTTGGAGAATTAGCTATTCTGTACAACTGCACAAGAACAGCAACTGTTAAAGGTTTGTCTTTTTTAGGCTGTGATGAATAAACAAAATACGATACTTTTTCGACCCTACGGGTACCTACCCAACGTAGTGTTTTTTTTCAATCAATCACAACAAAACCTTAATATATATCTCCTACCGGAAAATACATATGCTAAAAATAATTTACGTGACCATCAAAAATGTAAATTATGTAAATCATGAGTACTTTTTATGAGTGAGTGACCAATTTCAAATTTTCTCAATTCTGCCAAAGACAACGAAGCCTTAATATATATCTCCTACCGGAAAAAAACATATGTTAAAAATTATTTACGTAACCATCAAAAAACGTAAATTATGTAAATCATGAGTACCTTCAATGAGTGATTGATTAATTTAATTTCAAATTTGCTAAATCCGCGAAAGATTGTTTATGCCCAGTCGAGTATATGGAACGTAGATTTTTTTTTATTTCAATTAATCACAATAATCTTAATATATATCTGTAACCGAAAACACTATATGCTAAAAATTATTCACATAACCATCAAAAAAATATATCCCATTAATGTTTTTATTAATTGATTAATTCTGATTGTACTTATTTCATACCTATTATAAATATTGTCGTATAAAAGAAATATCTATCCCGTTAACTCATATTAAATCACTGTTAAAATGTATCTATCAAATTGCTTCTTAGCTCTCACTCGTGTGAAACTATGGGCTATCGATCGACAATGCTTTCAAGCAATAATGATGCGAACGGGACTGATGAAGCGAGAGGAACATCTTGAATTTTTGAAGAGGTATATTTTATATGGTTGTTTAGACCCCTTTTTATACATAATCTGACTTTGAAAAAGGGTTTTTTAAGAAGTCACTTCTAAATAAGGAGCTATTGTGGTTCCGAAGGCCAGGAATCTCCATGGTTCGTCATTTCACTGACTGTTTATTTGTAAAATCAAGTTTTGTTTGTCCTACGAAATTTTTCTCATTTGTTTACCGTTTTATATACAGTATATACATATAAAATACTAAATTGTTTGTTACAAAATACTAAATAATATCGACAATACTGTTCAGCCAGTTCTTTGTTGTTGATATGCGACATTTTTACCGATTTAAAATTGTATATGTTCGAATTCTTTAGCCATCAACCAGCAATTTTATACATGTTATTTCAGTGTACCAACGTTCGCTAAATTACCAGAGGATATCATAGCAAGAATAGTCGATGTCTTGGAAGAGGTTCGTATCTCGATTTTTAATTGAAAATATTATATTTAATTAATTTAATTACCTAATTATAACTATGGTTTCTCAATATTTAGCGACTTTATAATTGTGTCACTCAGAAGTACCCAAGTTGTATCATATTGGTTGATGGTTTTAATCTGAAAAATTCTAACCAAAGGCCGATTTCAATGCCGATCCGTTGTCAAGCAAATAACACTGGTATTATATTACAATCCATCTCTATGCCTACCTTCCAATCCAATAGTCGTTTTAAATTGAAAGTATAATACCTATATACTCCTTAATATATTTGTTCTAAATTGCTTCAATTCCTAATTGATTTATTGTAATAAACAGTGTCATTTCAAAAATGGAGACTACATTGTGAGACAAGGAGCAGTGGGAGACACATTTTACATCATATCAAGGGGAAAGGTACATTTGAATTTTATATTTAGGATTTTTGTATTAGTGTTACTTTAATATGATCATACTCAAAACTGTCTTTACACTAGAGTTTACCACTGTTTTGTTTTCTCAAACATCTTGAATATTTCCGCATTCGCGCATAATGCATAAAAATGACTATATTATATGATTACCGTATTTTTATACGGACCACAAGGAGCACTCTCAATAAATTGCCGAAACTGGATTCTTGTTCATACATAAGACGCAATGATTTTTAAAGCTATACCGCTACTAGTTTTGCATGTAGGCAATAAAGCATAAAGCATTACCTGATCCATGCATTAGGCACATCGGCTTAGAAAGCGCGCGATCGATTTCTGAGAAAAAGAAGGATTTGAGCCTCATCGTCCGTAAATTAATCGTCTTGGTGCACACTAACACAATTTGTATTTCTGTAACGTTTTGTCTGATCGAGGTCAGACTTCTTGAGACAAGTACAATTCAGATATTGTACATATGGACATTGGCCTGATTAACCTAATTGTATTATGATATTACTTATGACTTTTCTACTCTGTGCCGCAGGTTAAAATCACGAAACGAAAAGAATCAGGACAAGAGCCTGTATTCATCAGAGCATTGGGTAAAGGAGACTGGTTCGGAGAGAAAGCTTTAACAAGGTATGCTTTTGATAATGTTTTCTGGTGTCACTTGACTTTCTCTGTTTTTTTTGTTTTTTTTATAGGAAAAGCGTCAAATTTTTATTCGTTGGATGTTAAACGATTATTTTTGTTTCCACAGTAATTTAGAATTGCAAGTATATTACTGGAAATGCTTAGTTGTGGTAAAATTAAAGAACAGAAAATTTTTTCTAATTTTTAATAATAAGTCCAAGGAAACCAAATCTGGCGTGAAAAAGACGTTTTTACGTTTATCCGACTTGGATACTTTTTATCCTCACAATCAAAGTTACTGTACTATTTTGGTATATTTTCTTTATTTTTCAAATATTGCCCATAATGTTTTTGATCTACTATTATGATATCATACTTTATAAGTATATTGTATAAAAGTAATTGTCTGGCATTTGCGTCACGAAACTTCAGGGTTGTGTATTAACTTGGACTTGTTTACGTAGATATGGACGTCGTCGACGTCGGCCTATGCGCATAAGGTAGCGTAAACAATGCGTCAGTCACAACCACACGTTGCGTATGGGTCTGTGAAGCAAAATGAATGTTGTTTTTATAAAAAAAAATATGCAGCCACTAACAAATTGATATTAAATTATTTATATTTCATATAAAACTGTGAATTTGATGTTATTTTCATGTGATCACGTCATCACTTAGAATCTCTTCATGGAATTTAATCTAGTGTATTTGGATAATTAGTCGATACTGCTAACGGGTATTACCATGACACAATGTTTTTAACGGACAGTAGGCTCTCGGCTCAAAGTTTGAACTCAGACTGGCCAATTGATTTAAAAAAAACAGCTAATGTTCAATGTTATTCAAACTGCTAACTTCTGTCCCTATTTGCCACTTTATCCATTGAATTACAACATATTCAAGCAGTCAAAACTAACCGATTTAACAAGCGAATTATTTATCTATATACTTAACTTTTTTGTATATGTGTTAACTAACATAAATATCTGTTGTTTATTCAAACAAAACAATCTTATATTATTTCTTGCATTGATGAATCATTAATGCTTAATGCTAAATTGAGCTAGGCCCACAGCATTAAGAATGCTGCAAGCTTTCAAACAACTAATTGTTTTTCTGTTTTTTTATTTTTTATAAAATTTCATCCTTTATTTAAATAGATACTTATTATAAAATACCCGACTCAAAATTGCAACCAACAAAACGTTTCAAATAAAGACACCGAATACATGTACATAATATTAGTTTTTTCAATCAATTATTCAAAGTTATTTTTTGGAGTACAAAACCCATTTATGCTAAAATTCCAAGTACTTTAACACTTTCCTTCAATTTTTTTTATATGAAGCGAGGATTTACGGACAGCAAATGTGATTGTCGACGACAAAGATGGAGTTTCCTGCTTGGTACTCGATAGAGAGTAAGTCCTAAATTTTCTTTTTCTCTTACAACACTACCATACATGATACGTGGATAAACGTAACATTTTTAGCATGTTTATCTTTATTTCATGCCTGACACAAGATATGTTTAGAAACGAGGATTTTGACACTAATCGGTGTAATATGATTATTTACGCCCTACGCCCAAAGGGTATTACAGTGATGTGTCAAAACATAAATCAATTTGATTTTGGGTAATTTTTCGTTTTTTATTAAAGTAAATATTTATTGTTATCCGAATATTAAGCCACGTTAACATATTTTTGCAACAACTCAATGTTTATGGTACCAAATATTGGTATGCATAGCATTTCTAAAGGCTATCGCACAAGAATGACATGATTTTATTTATTGATACTAATATCTTCGCAACTGCATAGTTTTAAAACTCTTACTAACTTATCAATGTTTTTAAAATCGGTAGTACATTAGAACGAAAATTCCTTACAATTCAAATTCAACCCTTATTGCTTCCGGGTCAATGCAAAAAGTAGGGTCAAAGATGAAAGGTCATAATAATCTCTATAGTTTCAAGAAATATGCAAGAATGAATTTATCTATAAACATTAAATTGAATCAAATTTAACTACTATATTGTCAAAGGAATTCATACGGGAATTGCGAACTCAGATAACGCCTTTGTTTTTGTTTTTCTGAGAAGCTATTTAAAAAAAATATAACACGTCATTTGTTATACGAAAATTCACTAGAAAAATGCTTAATAAGGGTTTGAAAGATTTCACACATTTTTTTGACATAAAATTTTGACATGAAATTTACATTCATGAAAAATTTTTTGCATAACTTGAAAAACGCATTGTATAAGACGTGGTTTCGCTACCGGCAAGGTTTATATCAACGATCGTTCCTTGGTTTGTTGTTGCTGAAACAATAATCCTTTTCAGCAACTAATAACCCAATTGATTTGAAGTTTTATTACTTTATTAATTATGAACGAATTCATTACCGTTCGGTATTCATAAAGCCTTACCAGTACCGTTGCGCGACCTTCGCCTTCTTAAATTGTAGCACTACCTCGTTTCGGCGCTCCAGAAGTGTATGTACCAATATGCAGGTAACTAATTTTGTTCGCCTACTTAACATCAAGTTGTGTAAAAGGATTGAAACCTATGGACTGGGGGTATATTCATTTGACTAACTCAGACACTACCCGAACTTGTAATAGAACTAAAAAAAGGAAAATCAGAATGAAATTATGACCTAACCCTAACCTGGTACACACATTACGGGAGTACCCTCGTTTCATTGATGATCAAATTTTTTCATTCTTCTGATTCTATATTTTAAAGTGATAACCCCTTTCGGTTCTATATCTATACCCTTATGTGTGTTTAACCATGCTTTGGTAGCAGATGTATAGTTTACATATCCCGATATGCAAACTTTCGGATGTATTTTCTGATTATTTTCAGATAAGAGGCCACGCCACCCGCGAGTAAATGATGAGTTAGGCTTACGTCAGTGTTCATCCAATTATTGTTACTTTTCTCATCGACCTCGTCGGCCTTGACGCGTTTAAAAAAACAATGGTTTCGGAATTCAATTTTGGGTTATTTTCGTCGCGTTTTTGATGTACTGTTTGTAGTAGTTATTATTATTATTATTATTAAATATGACGATATCGTTGACTCAGAATAGGTTATAGTGATATAAATTTAATTTCCTATATAAATAAATCGATAATTTGAGTAACATTTCGTTCTTTGTTGTATTTTGAAATATAAAAAGTAAAGCGCTAAAGTAGGGAAACAGTGTGACACATATATAGGCCATATTATCCGATTCACCCAAACTATAAATTTATTGTTTTAAAGGCATAGTGTTAAAATAACGCATTTATATATTTATATAAATTTTAAGCGTTTCTTCTCTCAAGATTCAAAATGTTTGTGCCCTCGATTCTAATAATACTTGGAATTGGACTTGAGTCCGTTCTTCAACTTATAACTGAGTTAATGCTTTATCTACCAACAATACGCCATTCTCAACTATGCAACCCTAGCTAAGGTTTGCTTCAAAAAATCCACCCAAACCTCACATGTGTTGTATGAATTTTAAATGAAAAAGTGTAAGTTAATGTAACAATTCATCTACCAACGTCCAACAATACCTGTCCAATTCCATTTAAAAATCCTATTTTCATCTCAGTACCATTTCTCCTCGAGTTTGTTTTGTTTACTTTATGACGTCAATAACTACAAAATAATCAGGAAATTGCACAAAACGGTCCAACGATCCACAGTAGACGTCTGTCTTCTTTAAACCCCGGAGGCAGGTACGTTTATGATTACCATAAATAAGACTAATTGTAGTATATGCAGACTATAAATATTCAATATTGCGCAAAATCTATATCAAAATAATAATTTGACTAATATTAAATTTGTTATTTGTCATTTGTACTAATAATAAATCCATAAACACAGTCTGTTATGAAAACCTAAATTTATTCTCAACATAATTGCCTATTTGAATTCGTTTAATAGGTCAGGGAAGATTATTACAATAAATATACCCTGTTTCCCCGGAAACAAGACAGGGTTTTATTTCAATTTTCTTTCGAAAAATAACACTAGGGCTTATTTTGGGGGGATGTCTTTTATTTTCATTTATCAAAAACAAATTTACAAAGTAGAGAAATATACAAAATATGAAAACCGATATCCATTTACATAATAACACGTTTTGAATAATACGTTTTCATTCAAAATGACTGCTAAACATATTACTTTATTAATCATTTAAAACGTGTAGTAGAGATTCCTTGCTATCGACTAGGTAAAAAAAAAGAATTTCGCGATATCTACAAGGTCTTATTTTCGGGGAAACACGGTAGTAATAACTGATATTTCGAAAAAAAGTTGTAATTTTTTGGGGGTTCAAAATAATACCGGTTGGTATGTGACCAGTTTTCACCAAACGAAAATAGACTGTATGTGCTTAATTTTAGGTTGGTACGTGGGGGTTAGTAGATACCAACTGGCATGTGACTTGGAACACTACCAGCTATGTCAGAAAAATTGCCTTTTACGAAATGTGAAAAGTTAAACAGCCCAACCAGTTATAGAGCTCGAAAATGGCTGACACATGCAGCCGAACCAAATCATGAATGGTTTTATTTTTTTGTACAGCTTTTCGCTTATGTAGCTCAACTTAAAACAAGTCACAATTATCAAAACTAGGAAAGACAACCCTTAGCCTAGAACTAGATTATGGATAAACTAAGGTGGATTTGTTATTCTGAACTCCCATTCACTCGTCCTTTATCCTGATTGGATAAGTCAATCCTATTCGTTTGAATTTGACAAAGCCCGAATTCCTAAAAGTGTTTCTGACTTTCAAATGCTCATTTCTTAACTTTAACCAGTCAGTTGAAATATGGAGGGATAGTTCATAAGCTAATTCATCGACCATTATTAGATCAATGCATCATGACATTGACACTACACATAGTTAATTTTACCTAAATTTGAAAAGTTTGCCACCGCCCTTCATACACCTTTCACAATTTGAATATGGAAATCAAACTCGACAGACATAGGTTGTTACGAAAGCACGACCAGATGGTACCGGAACCGGAAGTACGCATTTATATAAAATGATTGACAACCTACTGGACGTCTGAAGGCTTTCAATTTTTATTTTCTACAATACATCTTAGTAACCAAGGTCCAAAAAGTGACCTTGTTACTCTGTTTCTGAAGACAAAATTTTATTTTATTATTAACAAAATTTATTCGAAAGAGAGATATTTGATAAGAAATAAAGAAAGTTTAAATAAATTTTTATTTACATAGGAGTTAGTTTAACATCCACTATCAATTGTGATTTTGATATTTATTATCGCGTATTTCATCCGAATACTTGGGCCAACTCAATCTAAGATTTGCGACTCACTACTTAGATCTTCCATATCTTAACGCGAGAAATTGTGAGTTTTCGCAACAATCAGAGCATAAAGAAGTTGTGAAACATCTAGAGACAGTTACCCAACTGTATATTTTTACACATCTTCCATGTACTGATTCCATATAAAACGAAAAATACTTCTACCATTTTTCAAATCTTCAAAATTTCGTGAATTGCGTATTATCCGGATTTTTCTTGTAGCAATAAAGTTGACATGTAGCAGCCATATGTGATTCTCTTGATGTTCTACCTTGAGTGAAATAACATTCCGTCGTTTCACTTATTTTTCGAATCGTTTCTTTTTCAACGAGTTTTTTAATTTCGGATTCTAATTCGACTTTATCTGTTTCGTCTCGCGGATGATTCGGAGCCGTGAAAACCAAGACACCGTCGCCTTTCACAAGGTTTACAAAATCAGGAAACATCTTCGGATGAATATGTTCTGTTCCAAACGACGCTACACATGATAAACCATCGTACAATAAGTTTTCTGTGATGTCAATTTTCTCGTTGACTGCTAAATGCTGCTGGTATAAATCGTCATAAACATGTTTTCGATTTGCCATTTCAAGCATGGAGCGACTTTCATCCACACCATGTAGAATTCCATTAAAATCTTTTTTTCGCAATTTATTCCCAATAAGACCAGTACCGGATCCGAAATCAATAACGAAGCAATCATCATCGGTGCAGTTTTCCATGTTCTCCATTAGTATTGTGGTTGCCACGTCGTGCAACCTGAAATACAATCAATTTCATAAGTAATCAATAGGAAATGAATATTTTGTGCTTTTTTCAAACAAGAAACCAAATTACTATGATCAGACGAAAGCTTACAGGTACATTTGAACATTTAGCAAAAATGATTGTTATTTTTATTTACACTCCAATCCTAAAAAACTTCTATTCTGCCATTTCTAACAAGCATTCTGGTTGCAACTGATTCCAAATGGGCGAAAGTAAACAAGAAGGAAGGACTTGTGGTCCAATACACAATATCCTGGAACCATTGGCCTCAGCGTTTTCATTTAAAGAAACTCACAGCAAAAATAGCAAATTTACATTTAATTTAGTTAACCAGAAAATTTTATTATTTTTTGTTCGGAGAAAATACTACACTAAAGCTAACATGAAGATCAATCAATGGCTATGAAACTACAACCACGAATATGTTGATTGTTGAGTAATAGTATAGTATCAATATGATGTAAATTGAACGTCCGGGTTGAGCTGGGCTCTTGGGATGACCACATAATTGGAAAATTAATTTTCTCTGTCAATGAGAACAATTCGATCTTTGTACTTAAGTTATATGTTCCAACCAGTGTGTTCCATACCATTTTCATGTAATCCAGCCGAACTTTTCGAATTATTGTGACCGGCTGTATAAAAATTGGGTATGTCCCTCGCGCTGTGATCTCAATTTTTCGAAAATGTTAAATTCCAATTTATAATATAGTTGCATTGCATAACATAAAACTACTGATTGATTATGAAAATTATCTGTCAGTGCGGCGTCAGTTCAACTATTGATCACGGTTATGTTCAGAATAATATACAACGTTTAATTAAAGTAAACTCGCGTATACTTTAGCAGTTCTATATGGGAATTTTCACATAAGAGTGTAAGCATCTACCAATCGTGTTTTAAAATTGATCAATTGAATTTGATAACAAATAGTAAAATATATACTTCCATTTATACCAAAACAAGGAATTTAATATTTCCTAAATACTAACTTCGTAAAACGAGTTATACTTTTGTATAAAAGTTCCATTCAAACCTTAGAAAAAGCAAGCGATAATTTAGGTGACAGTCAGATATCCCTATTAGTCAAAGAAACCAAGTGAAAATTTCGATCATATGAGAGTACTCCCGTAGTATATGTACCAGGCTAAGGTTCAGCCATAATTTTATTCCGATCTTCCTTATTTCAGTTCTATTACGAGTTCGGGGACTGTCTGTGTTGGCCAAATGAATATATCCCTTGCCCATAGGTTTCAGTCCCTTTATACTACTTGATGTAAAGTAGGCGAACAAAATTAGTTACCTCCCTATTGGTACACACACTTATGGAGCGCCCCCGTTCCTATCCTAGCCATTGGGACTTGAGGAACCAACTGCAACCGCTTGCAAGGAATCTATTGACAATTTGGACTTTTCTGTTTTCGCAAATTCTACGCTGTTACCTTTTCTTAGATCAAAGTGTTAAAGAGACAAGCAGTTAAACTAAGTATACCCATACCTGTAGCCCATATCCAACATGTCACAATCATAGTGCTCTGCCCAGTTATCATAAAACGTTTTAATTTTCTTTTTTGGTTGCTTCGGTACAAATTTTTCGAACATACTCCGTCCGAATATGCTGGAACTTGTGGTGACTGGCATGATGGACCTCACGCTACCGGTTCGAAAGCTGCTTGTTCTTGATCTGGTCATTGCGATACTACGACCTCGCTCGACGTTTTATATTACAAAAATGCACGTGAAAATTCAAAATCCTGCGTAAAAACCGTGCGCCACAATTCTGAATTCTGGAAACGATGCCGACTACTCTTCCGTTTACTTTTGAACTGTCAGTCTAGTAAATGCCAACCGTGAACCGGTTTGAAAAGGTTTCAAATAACTATAATTAGTAAAATGGTTAAACAAATAAATCCTAAAGTAATTTCGCTTTACGTTAGGTTGATTGCTGATATTTTACGTTTGATCCACTGAAATATAGCATTTTAAAAGTTTGATTAACTAAATCATGTTTTAGGCTAAAAGTGCTATCAAAAAGTTGAAAATTCAAAAAATTACTATGATTTTATGGTAAATCAGTTTTTGACTTTGACATAGAAAAAAATAGTTGTTTGTATCTAGATAACATTTATTACTAAAAATGGTTCAATCCTTGTGCTTGTATTCCAATTATATCAGTTATTTGGCTATTTTCATTCGAATCCAAGTTAATTTTCTGTTTGTTTGTTATAGTAAATAAAACTAAAAATTCTATGAAACAATAAAAATAAAAAAAAACATGATAGGAAAGCTTGATCAATACATTATCATACATATAGGTTAGACGTAGTCACGTCTACGTTGAGTCACGCTGTCAGAATAAGCTCACGTTTTTTAGGTATTCAAGTTAAAAAAACTAAAAAACTCGAACTTACAGACCCGGAATATCAAAATGTTTTTTAATATAATAATTCACATTTAGACTAAAACGGTGACTAATTTGCATATTTGGGTAAAGTGAACAATTTTTGGCAAGAAATTTCGTATCACTTCTTTTTTGCCATGGTATATTTGCTATATAACTAACTCGTTGTAAATCTGGCATTCAGCAAAAGTCAGAAATCAGTAAATACTGAAAATCTGATGTCTGCTACAAATTGCATCACACTTTCAAAAATAGTATACGTTATATGGTTATATAGGGTGTCCATAAAGTCTTTGAATTTTTTGAAAATTGCAAAGAGAATTCATCGATATCACATATTGTTTTAGCCCTCGCACAGTCTCAGATGAATTAAATGAAGTACAAATACCTTTAAAAACAATTACTGATTAAGTAACAACAAATCTGGTTAAGATATATTGAGAACTGACTTCATAACAAAATTGAAATTGTGAAGGGACTCTATAGACACCCTGTATATATACTATACTATCGTATATTTTCTCCACTGTATGGTATATGAATAATATAATTTTTAAATGACATTGTAAAACATACATAAAGACGAGATGAAAGCTTCCGTCCTTTTCACATTTAGTATCACTTATAATGCCTAATGAGTGCCGTATTCGGAACTATTACCTAAAAACAACCCTAAATGCTTGTGGACACCAGCATTTTGATTTATGTAACTAAATTTTCACATTTTCATACGTACATCATTGGTGAATGCCGTATGGTAATTCCCGAGAGCAATTAGTGGAGTTTGGTTAACGGAGTAACAACTTTTTTTAAACTTCGTTCAAAAATATGAACAATTTACATAAACTAAGACCACAGAAAAAATCGTATTATTGTTATTTTGGCAATATTTCAAAACATCGATCTTTCACGTTTCGACTTTTAGAGAAGTTTGTTGTAGGACACTTTATTGATTGATATTCAAACGCTATATTAAATATCTGTTAAAATTAAGTGCATTTTGCGGTAACAATGTAATTTAAATTTTATAACCTGTATGGAATATTATAATTTTATTTCAAATTAAATAATATTATACATGCGTATAATTATATTAACTATAAAATCCAATGTGAATCAAGTGAGACACCGCTTTTTCTCAACAGTGGGGTAGGTGCCAAGCACAATGACATTGCGGGTATATGTCATAATCGATCTTTTTTTTCTTCTTCCTGAAGATTAATGTACGGTACATCCGGCTATGTAATTGAGATATTTTGTATAAGTGTCGATGGGCTTTATATGATTCATTTTCAGCTTGTTGTTCATATATCAATTCCCTTTGCAGTCCATGTACTGTATCACAGTATCACTGTACCACCATCACAGTGTATGCCTACAGGTGAAAGTCTATCTGAAATCTCGCGATCACTTACTCTGCGTATTTGCTGTGGGCCCTTTTATTTATTTACTTCTAATAGTACTTGGCAACAGCACAAAGAACGCAATCATATAATTAATTACAGCGTAATTTATCTTAAATATACATTTTATTATTATTAATGCTACATGTATAATTTAACATTACTAGTTTTCCATATAAATAGTAACCAATAATGAGTAAATTTCATTAAAATTGTTGTTTTTCATTCTTTAATTAATGAATTATTAATTTTTATTCTAGATCATTTAACCAATTGATCGGCGGTCTCGATGACGTCAAGAAAACGTACACTGAGGTACAAGCAATAAGGTAAATATTTCATTAGATGAAACCTGAATAACCTACTATGATGTCAGAATGACGTCAAAATTGAATAATGTTTGTAAAAGTAAAGAATCAACATCTGGACGACCGTATAAGGATTGTTTTTGCAGTGAAAATTACGTTTTAATGTATTTTTGCGAGGGTAAAGTCGTGACATCTGGCTTGACCGTAATTATATAGCTGTTTAGATCAAGTTCAGGTCAATATGGCTATATACAGGGGGGGGGGGGGGGGGCGTCATACTGTATAAACAAACCACTGCATTACCCCGTCTGTAAGCATATTATTAGACTGTAGAAGACCATCACGCTTACAAATTGAAACGACAATGCCAATTGATTACTCATCCGCTTTTTGCTATTTTGGACTAATTTCGCAGGATACATATTTGATTTTCCCCAAAACAGGCTTTTAATTTGTTTACAAGCTTTATTAAATACTCTATTTGCAACAATTTCGTTTCAGGTCTCAGCCTGACAGAGCATTCTACGACTCATTGAAGCTGTCGGATTTTACAGCAATAGAAACGCTGGGTGTCGGCGGATTCGGCCGTGTGGAATTGGTATGTGGTGTTGCCATTTCGTGTATTTCTACTGTACAGTTCGTTTATATTATGTATAATTTCACGGCATTATTGTGGATAAGGCAATTGACAAGTTATAACAACCGAATCCGTTTCCGAACGAATAAAAGTTCAAATTACGACTCTCCAACTCCGTGGAATTTCTGAATATAATACTCCGCCAAAAAAGGCGAAATTTTATTCCCACAATTCCTTATTTGACATCTATCTAAGCCATGCCATGGCTGTCTGTCTGCAGCATGAATACAAAAATCACATCATTTTTATCTAGTCCTTATTCGACGGGCGTTTGAACTTGGTAACCCGCGTAACAAATTAATCGATATGAATCGAAACGAGTCTATCTTGGTTTCAATGCAAATTTAGAACAATTCCAGCTCTTGCAGTTTTACTTGCGTCACTTGCAGACTGGGAGCAATTATCTTATTTCAATTGGAACCCTTCGACATAAAAAATGCCAATTTTGGTTTTTGTCTAGTTTAATAATGGTATTAATAATTAATTATACAATTGTAACATTGACCATCCCTCCACAGAGCTTTGCCTGGGTTTAAAATAAATTTAAATAAATTTAAAATCAACTGTTAATACTGTTATACCCCTAATTTCAATGTCGGAAGAAATCCTGAATGTAGTAATTACATATCGTCGCATATTTTTAAACGATTTGAGGTTGAATTTATATTTGACATCCGCGCGTTGTTAAAGTGGCTAAAGCTGTAAAATCGACAATCTTGGTGTGGAAGGTTGAAAGTATTGGGTTCGAAACCCAAACCCACCGCTTCACACAACGTACTATCGAGCCCCAGGAGTTTTGGTCTTTCCGAAAACGTCCTTGCGTGACGGTGTCCACATATACACATGCAATGACAGAATTTTTTTTCTGCAATACTCCTGACAATTTTTAGCTGCAAATCAGCAATATTTCTGCTTCATTAAGAACAGGATTTTCTTTTCAAAGGGAGGAGTTTGATTATTTTAAAAGAGGCATTTTTAATTGCGTGCAGCATTAACAATTTCTTTCCTTATTAGTATTATTGTAATACGTATTTCTATGCACATATACCAGAATGCGAGTAGCACATACCACGAATATTGATCCATTAACGACTGAACAACAAACGAAAACAATTTTCATGCATAGTGAGTGGAAATGGAAAGTTTTGAAAAAGAGAAAAGGGGGATTGTATACAAAAAAAAAGTGCACTCCCGTAGTATGTGTACCAGGTTAGGGTTGGGCCATAATTTTATTCCGATTTTGCTTATTTTAGTTTTATTACTGTGTTAGCCAAGTGAATATTCCCCTGCCTATAGGTTTCAGTTCCTTCACACAACTTGATGTAAAATAGGCGAACAAAATTAGTCACTTCCATATTGGTACACATACTTCTGGAGCGTCAAAAATTTTGACTCAATAATTTAGAGTATTCCATAATCTTGAACCTAAATTTTATTTTTTATCTAACAGGTTGAATTAAACAGAGATAGATCTCGTACATTTGCGATGAAAATATTAAAGAAAAAACACATCGTTGAAACCAGACAACAAGAACATATCATGAATGAAAAACGAATTATGATGGAATCAAGTTGTGATTTTATTGTCAGGTTTGTACTTTTTACAGAAATTTGTTTATTTACTTCAAAGATCTAAGTATTTGAATCCACCTGTAGATCAGTGATCTCAAATTTTCATGATCTGTGGTATCCTTCAGTGATGTCCCTACAATCCCCTATAGGGGGTGAACACCCCTACTAAACACCCCCTTATTTGAGGCGTGACACCACAATTTAATTCCTAACTTAAATACATTTCCAGAAAGTGGCGTACATGCCAGTTACAAAAAGATCACCACTAGCAAATTATCTACTACCCCTCGTGAAAAAAAAATGGAGACTTCTAAAGAATCTCAAAACTTGTTGCCACCTTCTATAAAAATAACTTTTGCTTCAAACACGTTCTTTTAAAGTGGTTCGTTAAAAAATAGTACGGCTGAGTGACTGTATAAAGAGTCTTAGGTATGAAAATGCTTCATAAAATAAATAATGATATTTATTCTCAGGATGTATTCGACATTTAAAGATTCTCGATATCTATACATGTTGATGGAATGTTGTCTTGGTGGAGAATTATGGACGATTTTACGTGATAAGTGAGTATGGATTTTGTGTTGGATGAAAGATTTGATGGAGTTCCTTTTTCGCTAAATGTCATGCAGTAACACTGGATGATCGGATATTTTCGAATACAAATCAAAATCAGATACTTTTGTCGTTTTGGAATTTTATATGTTTGGAAATGTAACTAAACATGCATACAAAACATTTGGAATAAAAAAACTACAAATCAAATTGGCAGTACTTTAAATAGCTTTCTGGATGTGAAATCTCAAATATTTTACAATAGATAGAGCAAATGGCCACCCATTTACAAATCAAGCGATCGAGATAATACCAGTTCATGTGCGATGTTATCGTCTGCTAGTCCTATGGCTTTACTATCATTTGAAGCATTTGTTTCATCTGAATATCATTTGAATGCGAATGAAGTGATTCTTTAAACGTTTCAAAGTAACTTGAGTCCAAAACACAAGATAAAAATTCACTATTTATAATGATCGACTACGTGTAGATTCTAAACTATTATTATGAGTAAAATTCAATTTTGGAATTATATTTTCAGAGGAAGTTTTGAAGACAATACCGCAAAATTTTACACGGCATGTGTCGTCGAAGCTTTTATTTTCATGCATTCACGTGGTATCATATACAGAGATTTGAAACCTGAAAATTTAATATTAGACGAAAGAGGATATGCTAAGCTGGTAATCTCATTTATGAGTTTGAGTATTAATATTAAAATAATGGCATTAATATAATGAAATATGATATAGATCAAATCTATTTACCATATTTATGTTAAAATACTTGTACCAAATGTCATATAAAGTTGCCCTCTGAATTATGAAATCCGGAAAAATTTGGATAAAAAGTGTAGATTTTCAGATGGAATTGGAATAGAAGGAATAGCCTTCTTGCAGCTTCTTTTATCTGCAACAACAACAACACCAACAATTTAACGAAACTTTTTGTCTAGTAACATTTTCTAACAACGATTAAACCAATTCACAATGGTACTTTTAGGTCGACTTCGGATTTGCGAAGAAAATTGGGTTCAGTCGAAAAACATGGACTTTTTGTGGAACACCTGAATATGTTGCTCCTGAAATAATATTAAACAAAGGACATGATTTATCGGCCGATTATTGGTCGCTTGGTATATTGATGTTCGAGTTACTCACTGGAAGGTAGATATTCTATCTTATATTCGTTGTTAATGAAATACGGTTATGAGATAAACAAACCATTCCAACATTTTATATAAATGGAAAAGTTTTGTAGAAAGTTCTCTATCGCTTAAATGAGACCGAGTTTAGATCAGCCGACTTGCTGTACATAAAAAAATGTTTGGGTTCTGGCAACTTACAAAATGTATGCAACTTTCGTGGGAGAAATATGTTCTCGCGGACCTATTTTGCAATCGGCTCCTGTTAAATGATGAATAACCCGTTCCTATAGTATCCTAGAGTAGTAGTATGATTTTCTGGTAAAAACCATCTTAGCATATTGCCTATATTTACAATCTTTGTAGTGCGATATTTGACTCTTCTCAAGCCCAGGTTAGGTAATCAAAAGTATACTAAAGTTTATTGTCTATACGCACTTTTAAAATGGATGATTAAAATACCATATTATTCTTGTGTTATTCTATTTCATTTACTTTACAGTCCTCCATTCTCCGGACATGATCCGATGAAAACATACAACCATATTTTAAAAGGAATCGACATGATTGAATTTCCAAAGAAAATTTCTCGAACTGCCCAAGGTCTAATTAAAAAGCTATGCAGGTGAGGAACAGCACATTACTCATCTTGTTAATGGAAAGTAATATCATTACAGTCGAGTCGTCAATTTCTAGTTGATAAGCAAAATTACAAAAACTCATTGCAATGTACCAATTAAAAAAATTCAAGTATGAGTATTCAACTTGGTTGATTAGAATGAGACTGAGGATTCGGTTCCTGTAGTCTGGGCCCCGCGGGGTCGAAGTACAGGTAGTTATCTCAAAAGCTACACTGACCCTTTGCAATTTTTAAATTTGGCAGTGGCAAAATTTGGCATAATACCATTTGATATTGTTATTTAGGGACAATCCGGCTGAAAGATTAGGAAATCAAAGGAACGGAATCAAAGATATTCAAAAACATAAATGGTTTGATGGTTTTAATTGGGAAGGATTGAAGAAATGTACAGTCACCCCACCTATTATTCCTAAGGTTTGTATTTATTGGCCACGAAGTGTACTTATGGATCGTTTTGTTTATCTGGTATTGTTGTTTTGTTACTATTTTTTTTCTTTATGAAAATCGCTTCTTTCTTTAATTACTGGACCAATTGGTTTGAAGTTTTTAATGGTTAAAGATTGTATCTGTTGCTATTACTTTTATTGATTTCAAAACTTTCTGTGGGTTCTATGGGATTCCTTTTTTGTGTAAGTTGACGTCATCAAAAATTGCGCACCTTGTGGCGGTGCCGTGTTCGCGTTGGTTACTTTCCGGTGGTTGACGAAGTCGTGAAAACAACAGTACCGGTAGTCTACTGTAAAAGAATGCATACCAGTACTACTTCGTTTTGGCTTTCGTGTCAATCTATTTTATCATTGCTCTCATGTTTATTACTCGTTGTTTTTTATACAAATTTCCATTACTTCAATGCTCTCGAGAAATGACTACATTAAATGTTTTATTTTATTTGTAGATGTTTCATTTTAATAATATTTGACTAATTTATCGTGTTGATCTGACCATTGTATGCTAAACGTTGCGGTTTCTAATCTTAGTTAGTCGACGATCATTCCCACTAAACTTCGGCAATCACATTTATTAAGGGTCTGCTAGAGCGACAAGATCTCAAAACGTTCAAACATAAACCACTGTAACAAATGTGGAAAACCATATAAAATTGATACAAACTGTACTTTTTCATTTGACTGTCATCATCAATAAAATAGCGATCAAGATTCTCAATTTTAATAATATAATTTTTAGTTGAATGGACCTTCCGACACTTCAAATTTTGACAAATTCCCGGAAGAAGAAGAGGAATTACCGGAAGTAGATGAATCTGGATGGGACAAAGAATTTTGAAACGGGAATCCTGGTTCGAAATCCAATCAATTATCCACTGCTAATAACAAAATTATTACTTTTTCGCACCACGCACCGATGCGTAAAACAAATATTGGAACATTTATTTATATATGGAATTTCTTACACAACCATAATATAGAGGAATTCCTAACTTCCGCAATTGGTGGCTATCTTAGCATCGTCCTGAGAAAGATGTTGAGTATTCTGACACAAGCCACTCAAAAGACGAGAGAGAATTTTTTTGATTTTAATATATTTGACGACGTAACCACGCCTATCTCGTTTTTTTGAACTATTTTAACTTTACAATCGATGTTGTGATGGGTTTAGAAAATATTTAAACTTTGAAGTCTTCCAACTTTATCAGTGGAAAACAGTGAAATTTATATCGGACATAGGTTTAATAGAAATAGTAAGTTTAATTATTTTTACACTATACTACTCATACAACTGACTAGCAACAAAATCTCTGCTCATTGTGTCACATTACAAGCCATATTCTATAGGTGTTTATGATTTACGAGTTTTATATTTTGACTAAAGCAAATTTTTTGTTCTACTCTTTGATGAAATTTTGACACACAAGACGACTAATTTCGAGTATTAGATTAGTTTGGCGTTATTATCTTACCGACTGAGTTTTTTATTGTATTGTTGAAAAACTATAATACCGAATCGGTGAAGTTCTAAAACATAGTACGCAACTTCTTATAAAAATATTTGTTAATATTTCATTATACATTTTCAAGATGTATTATTGTTGCTATTTTCATAAATTTCAGCAGAAAATAACAATTTGTTTTTCAATATTTACGGATATAAAGACGCTCGATTTTATTTTATTTTCAACATTGACATTATTATTATTTTCTTGAAATGTTCCTACATTATATTGCTGAATATGTGTGATTACGTATCTTATTCGTTTTTTTCATTGCTATAGCAACTAAAATTGATTATTACGTCATCAATTACGTCATGGCGTGGACGATTAATTTTGGTTTTAATATTTCATTCTATGCTTGAACGGCAAAATATATGATACTTTATGGTTTATTTAAAATAGGTATTCAGGTATTCATTTACTTTTTCCGATTGGTGGGTTGGGGGGCGTTTTGTCGCAGTTTTTTTTTTATAGCTGCTGAATCCTTACTTCGAATAACCCTAAATACTATGAACGAGAACATTACTAATAGCGAGGAGCTTTAGTGGCGCTCCAGAAGTATGTGTACCAATATGGAGGTAACTAATTTTGTTCGCCTATTTTACAACAAGTTGTGTGAAGGGTCTGAAACCAATGGACATGTGGTATGTTCACATAGCTAAACAGACGGTCACCGAACTTGTAATAGAACTGAAATAAGAAAAATCGGAATAAAATTATGGCCTAACTCTAACCTGGTACACACACTACGGGAGTGCCGTTTTAGTTTAATTAAGTTGCAGTATTAAAAATTAGTCACGAAAAAAGCTACAATAGACTAACCTGAAAATAAGCTATCAGTACTTTTGATTGATAGGTGGGTAAATATTTTTTATTCAAAATGATGTTTATGATACAAAAAAGTAGTTTCTAAGTATCAACTCGCAAAATAAGTATCAAAGATTTTTAAATTGATCAGTGTAAAAAAACTTTGTCGTCAAGGGTCAGAGGGGATCCATTGAAATCAAAAGCCAATGTGAATGAATATAAATTTTGAATCGTATTCGAAATAAAAAACATACAAACTCTTCGATTACTGGACCAATTGATATTTCGGCAGATTGTTGTTGTCGCTAGACGACTCTTACTTTTATTTATTTCAAAAATTTCTGTCGGCTATATGAGATCCGTTTTTTTTAGATACATGTACTACTTTGTTTTGTCCTTCGTCTCCATATACTCGGGCATTGCTCTCTTGTTATATGTCCGATAACTTCGTAAATACGAGAAAACTGTTTGTTAGTAGTCGTCATCGCATGTTAACAGTATGGAACATATAGAAGTAACTATTTCCAAGCAAGGTCATTGACAAATTGCTAGTCAATATTGAATTATTTTTAGCGATTTACCTGGATTGGTTCCAGATCTCTCAAACTTCATTGTTCAGATGGCTTTACCAGCCTTGCTTTTTAATTTATTACTTGTGTCATCAGGTATCGCAATATCAAAGATGTACCTACCGAGCATATGAACTTTTTGGGTGTCAGACAAAAAAATTGTGCTCAATTGTATTTATAGATTCAATCAATCGGCACAAAATAATACCGTTTCCAATTTAAAGTGCATTCTGTCACACAACAATTTCATCGTAAAGACATGGGAATGACGAAATATTGCTCCAAAGAACGTGAATTATGCATTATGCTATATAATGTAAATGGGGGAATTGTACTAGAAAGCTGGAGCAATTCAAAATATATACTTGAGTGTGTTTATTTGGTGAATTGCCCTGAAAAGCTGAAACTATGTGATATTTCACAAGAAGCGGGAATGACGGGAACATCGGATAATTATATATATTAATTCTCGGGGAAATCGTTGGTCGTTAACAATAACAAAAGGGATTAGTGAGAAATGGCGGCAATAATGGGAAAATCTCGGAAAGGACGAGAAGAGCAGGAACTGTATTTAGGCGTGTCTTGGGAGCGGCAAATGTACATTTTGGTGTATATGTACGGAAAATTGCACAAAAAAGTCGGTGCAGCGTGAAATTCCACCTAAAGTTCCACTTAAATACAGATTCTCTGTTCTTCCTCCATTTTTCATTACTCCCGCCAATTAGTGTTATTTTCCGCAGGAAAATAATAGACACACCGTCCTAGATACAGATTTCCTGGCGTTTCCGCGATTGACAAATGTCTGGAAGAACACGGAAAATCTATATTTGGATGTTTGTAGTAATTCCAAGTAACCCAAATTCAGACTTCCTGTTTTTCTATGCATTTCCGCATTTTACTCGCCCTTTTTCATTATTCCTTACTATTAGTTCAATTTCCCGCATAGAAACACCTGAATACAGATTTTCAGGTCTTCCCGCCGCATAGAAAAACTTAAATGCTTCAATTATATTTATATACAAATTTGCTGGACTTCCCGCCAGGTTAGTTTGATTCTTCTCTTGTACTTTAAGCATCTATGATACCGTGGTATATATTCAACCCGAATGCTAAACCGATTTTTCAGATTTTAACTAAGACGAAACATAGCACTCTCTCTGCTGATGTTCGTCGGTCTGAGACTTTCTACTGCTTAGCAGTCACACACCCATCAGCAATTTTTAATGTCACGCTGCACATGTCGGCAATGTTTGATCAAATGTCCATCCATCAAAAAACAACATTTTGCTCTTGAAGTAATTTATTAAAATACAAAACGATGTTTTCCAGAAACAAGCTTCTGGCTACACAATCAAGTGAGGGCATTGAATGAAACTCACTGTAAAGATCAATTTCATACTAGGTTCACGCTTGGCAAAGTCAAGTTCTCGTCGTCTTATTGACAACCATATATGTACCACATTTATTTGAACAACACAACTATAGCACATGATTACAGCGTATTGTGTACGACACAATAGAATATACAATTAATAATATTTACTATATACAGGAATTGTTATTATATTGCACATAACCCGGCAAAAAAATTTCAAATCATGATCCAACGATAATATGATCGTTACTGACACGAATTAGAATATTTATAATAACAGAGACATGGCAAAATATTATTTTCTCCTCTAAATCGTAATAGTTTTATTGTATATCGGTGTCTTCTGGCTTTGATAGTTTTTGGGAGTTAAGGTGGAAAACACCTCATAATGTTAAAAACCCCCAAAAAATAATAGAATTACAAAAGTAAGCAACATTTGTGTTTTCGAGTATTAAATAATATTCGCAAAATGACCTGAAGTTTTACAGTAATTCAAGATATGACGATTCTGAAATGTTGATAGAATATCAATGACATCTTGGAACACGTTTGTCAAATTTATATTTTTAACACAATTGCAATAGGACAGTATAGATCACAATTGCATGTGTATTTCAGTTACTTAGTTTTGTTTTCAATACATTGTGTTAGGGCATCGTGTCTTGATTCTTGGATTCATGAATGTTTAGCGATCGACCAAATATAAAGTTACAATAAAAACATCTAGAAATCATAAACAAACACGATTATAACTTTTAAAGGGATAATTACGAAATGTACATGCTTAGTGGATTATATTATCTCGACATAAAAATAAAAGATATTTAAAAAAACGTTGAAATGTGCAAATTGAGCCTCGCTGAGAAAGAAGAAGAATACTAAAAAACAACATGTTTTTCAACACTTGAAGAGTAATGTGGTGTCAAAACACAAAAATAGAATGATTTCTGGCTGAAACTACATAGTTATATGTGTTCCATGCAAATGTTTTTTTATTTAAATATTCAGTTACAGATATATATATGTAGGTTTAGTTAAATTGGACCTCTGGCGTCACTGGGGAGATAGATGAAATGTAGTTCTTCAGGTTATGACCATGGATATGTATATTTACCATACATAGTTTCGATGAAATAATTGAATATTCCATCCTCAAAGGAAGCGTGAATTATTCAGTAGCCTGGATGTCCGCTGACGTCTATAGCGAAGATATATTATTCTGATTGATTTTAAGCAATCTGAGTTTTAAAATGTACTCTTCCTGGTATGTATCATACCTGGTCCGCGTCATGGCAGTGCGATTTATCTACAAACGTGCTTGACTATATATACTCAAACAAAACCCGTTAAGGAATCTGTTTACTGTGATTTGACACTATTTTGATGTAATCTTGTTGAGAAACAGTTTACCATCTAATGCAAAAATAGATCAAATCGAGAACGATTGCACGAGCATGCACTCCGAAAGATCTGGAATGTGTTGGAGTAGACAATATTTTTTCTCATACATACTATAAATGTACGCAATGAAAGGATCTTGAGATTTGGGTTCCATATAAAATAGGAAGAAAATGGGGCATACGACAGCACCCTGTGGTATCCACCAACTGAAATGAAATCATCTTATATGAAGAAGATTCACACAAAAATCTATGAGTGTGTGTGTGTAGAATAAGATACAATAAAGATCAGACTAGAACATTTTTTAAAAAAAACAACGAAAATAACGTATAGTAAACAACTAATTTGATAAATACACTTTTCATATGAATAACTAACTACAAATGGACTTGTTACACCAAATTTTACCGAAAAATCCTGTGTTGTCAATCCAGTGCAAAAGTTGTTGCTTGTATTCACGTAGTAATTTTCAATCACGCATTTTGTTAAACAATTCCATTATAAAGATAGACTCATATGAATGGAGGATTAGTTTTTCAAGCATACAATACATAGGTACGCAATAACTATTGAACTTCGATGTCACATGATCACAATACATAGAATAAAAACATAGAAAGGTAAGTAATTTGCTAAAAACAGTGTCCACAAAAATTGTTGTCAAATTTTCATCATAATATATCTCTTGAAGTAATAATTGTGTTGAAATAAAACTGAAACTAGAAAACCAGGGAAAATACTCAAAAAACACTCTGAAAACTACATCGGTGAAAAATTAAAAAGGTATACCAGTGGAAGATAGGGTTAGTGGACAGATTGTCTAAATATAACTTATCTGAGATTTATCCTTGATCTAAGTAAATAAAATATACTTTTGTCATAATTATACGCTACTGGTGATGTAATGTCTCAGTCCTCGTTTTCCAAAGATCTCAAAATTGCTCTCATAGACCCAAGTTCGTCTTTGATCTCTTTTTTTGATTGTTGATTCAACAAGAAGTCCAATCTTACAGCTGAGCCTAGATAGAAAAATAAAACAATGTTAATAGAAATTGTTTCTAAACTTTTCATCAAATTTTGCAACTTTGAATTTTTAAATAATCAAACATTTAAACCTAGCACAAACTATACGAACATATAATCTTATTTATCTGCATTCAAGGCAACTTGTTAAGACATTCAGAAACTAGCCTAAAAACTCATGGAATCTTTCAAATATGATAATATATTCAATAAACGTGGGAAACATAGCATTGATTTGTGCTATTATACTTTTAGAAATTGCATTGTATTTCTTCAAATATGTATTTATTTATAAACATCTCTTTAACGCTTCGATTTATCGATTAAAAAAACGTGAAAAAGATAATAATTCCTTTGGTTTTTGAACATTAGAAACATTGCAATAATTGCACTAATTCTAGATACTTCCTAAATTAAACATACCTGCTGTGCAATCTGGAACAGTGACCTGTTTATAAGGGGAGTCATCGTAACCTTGTGAGGTGACCCGGATGTCATAAGTTCCGGGTGCCAAAATTCGCCAGTAGTCTCCATCTGCGGCTGTGATGATATAATGATCTATATCTCGGACTTCAATGCGAGAATAAGGAATTCCCGCACCTGTTGAAGAGTCGTTTACGAAGCCTTTCACGCCACATGTCACCTGTGATAAAAATTTACTTCAAGATAATTGAAAATCGATAATATCGATTACGTTAGGCCGAACAATAAATATTCGACGACTCTCCAGGAGTATCTGTACCAATATGGAGGTAACTAATTTTTTTCGCCTACTTCACATCACGTTGTACTGAAACTGGAACCTATGGGCAGGGGGATATTCACTTGGCTAACACAGAGAGCCCCCGAACTCGTAATAGAACTAAAATAAGGAAAATCGAAATAAAATCATGACCTAACCCTAACCCGGTACACATACTACGGGAGTACCTATTCGACTATAAAAAAAAAAACATAGCACTGTATATAGATGATAGAAAATCTTTTCCTATAGCCAGGTATTGGCCTTGATTCTAGATTAAGAGCTTCGCTACATCATCCACCTTCAACTGGTTTGTTTAGATTTTTTTGTTGTGCTAGAAGTAATTGAATTATAAACCAATCAAATTTGTGGCACGATAGCCATTAAAGCTTACCACAATACAGAAGAGTAAACTATTTTTGACATGCTGAAAAATATGGAGCATATCAGTTTGAAGAAAATACGGGAGTAATAGCGCAAAAAAGTGTACAAAACGTTGAAGAATTACACCAAATAACTCCTAAAACGAATCAAATTCCTAACCTGTTCAATATAGGTCAATAGGGAGTTTTTGTTCATTCTCCAGTAGTATGGAAGATTTTGTGGAGGTGGAAATTTTTGACAGCTCAATTCCAATGTTATTTCCATGCAATTGCTAGCAAGATAATTGAAATCCTGCATTCCTGTAGGTGAGAAAATTATAATAGTAATTGTAAAAATAGAACACTTAAAAAATGCATGATCGAGAGTGTCTAGTATAAATGCTCTAGATATATATATCAAGCGTATAGGTAACTATGTCTGTGTAGGCTTGAAACATGTGAAGCAGAGGAAAAGTACTCGCACATGTGTGTAAAAGTAAGAGAATATGAGAGACCAAAGAGCACGACTGAGAGAAAAATAGAAAACTACAAACTCAACAGAGTCGATAATCAAGAGGAAAATTCCAATGCAAAACGTTCGCAATTACCTCCTCTGACGCTGTACCACTCTGCACCGTTTGTTGTGCCGTAATGGAAGTGATCACTTCTATCACACCCTGTTGATGACGCCATAGCTGGATTGTTCTGACTGTATGATAACGCTATGTAACGAAATGTTTTATCATCGGGACATTCTGAAAAGAATAGAATTGGTAAATCATTAGAATGAATGAGAAGATTTGTATGAAACTTCATTCTGGTTGGTAGTAGAATGACTGAATACACAACTCGGAAAAATGGAAAATAAAATTGTCTGAGTATCGCACATGCACACACATTTTAAGTGACCATTATTATGATTTATCATATTTGCTGGTATATCTTGTTTTGTCTGAAGAATCGAAGTACGAATATCCAACGAAACCTTATCTCAAATGTCGTGGAAAAAGATTATGCTATTCTTATTTATATTCATAATGCAATCTCGTTCATGAATCCTTGCGGCAACTGACACATACGGATTCGTAGTAAAATATAAACGAGGGAAAGGACTTGCAGTGCAGTATACACAATACCCAAGTATCCTCAGTATAAATGTCCTCAATGAAACATAAAGTTGGCTAAGCAGCATTCCCAACAGCGAAAAGTATACTATCTCACATACTGGTAGAATGCTTCTTACCGTGATACTCTCTTGTCTTTCCGTTGCATGTATTATCATACGGATAATTTGCCACTAAATCACCTCCATGTAAATTTGCAGAGATGACAAAAGGAATCTCCATAATCCATTCAAACACTGCTTTCGTTTCTGGTTCCAACTGGACAATAAATGGTAAATGTTCAGAAAAAATATGATAAGAACGAATCAAAAATTCGAACGCTTTTCTGGATTTTTGATTTCGAAATGATTTCAGTCTTTAAAACTGAGGGCGTGGCTAACTAAAGCTTGAAATAATGAAATTTTCTGACACAACATATTTAGATAATTATTGATTAATGATCAGTAATTGTTACGAAAAATGTTGTCTTTCAAGTTTGTATACTTGATTAAAAATACCAAGCAGTAATGTACTCTTCGATAAGATCTTGTGTATTTGTTAGAAGCAGAGTATAGAATTCGAATACAGGATTACAAAACAATAGCAAGATATATTATTGAAACATAAAAACTTCATGCAACCATGCAATATTTTTAGGAAATTAAAACATTCATCACTAACTACGAATGAATCACTAACTACGAATGAATTAATGCAGCTCTTTGTTGTCCCAAGGGGTCATTTTAATTACTGGTGACGCTTTTTCTAATCTCTTTTTCGTGCCATTTCGTAAGGCACCACAGTTCTATTTGTTGTGGTCAAACTTTTGACAATTTAATTTTCACTCATGATTTATTAATGAATTTATTGATTTACAGCAAATAGGCTGTAATTCTAATGACGAGTGAAAGACTATTTTAGGATCAATAATGGAGAATTCTATTCTGGTGTATTGCTACGCTTGCTTTATGATAGATTCTACAGGAGAATTTCATTACTGCAGTTATGGGACCGGGTCAGATCAAATGTTTTAAAATATTAATAGAGGCCGCATACTGTGTACGATACATTTCACTTCAGACTAAGCAAGTAAAATACTTAAAATTAGAAACAATATGATTGAAAATTAGTGGACATTTGATGCCTCTAGATTTCATGGGCCCATAAAATAAATGTACTGAAAAGTTATAAAGATCATAATCATATTATTGCTTGCTCAGAATTAACATTATCGAGTCTGAATTTACAGCTGGCCTATCAGCCGCACTGAAAATTGTCTTCAAGACCCGACATCACGAAGAGCCGACCCGTGACTCAAGATGTATACCAGTTGACGCTTATAGCCACGTTTACATATATATAAGCAATATCTCAATTAGCAATTATTTCCTTTGCCTGAATTGCTTTATGAAATGACGGTGTTAGAACTGATAGATATTAACAAGTTAGTCTAATAATCTTACACTTGAAAAAGTATCATTCAAATAATAAAAAAAATTAAAATTCAACATAGATGGGTAAAAAGTTTAAGAAGAATAAATTTACAACGTGTCGGTGTTTAGACTACCAGATCAACCAAAAGATAACCAAAAAAATTGGTTTAATACGCTTATATTTAGTTTCATAATAATAAAAAAAAACTTAAAATCAATTTAAATGGCTAAAATTTTTTAAAAAAATGAAAATAAAAAAGGTTTTATTTATTATTAAAAAGATTTTAAAACATAATTTATCGTGCAAGTTGCATATTTTCCTAAATAATCCCACTCACTACCTCATCAACAGGCCATGACATAGAATATCCCAAAAGCCAGCTATTATTTGATGGGTTCTTGCATATCTTAGCACCCAGTTTTGGAAAATTTCGATTTAAGTCAACACCATTTGCGTTATGACGCCCCGAGTTGATGTTCTATAAAAAAAAAGCTGATGAAAATAAATGACCTATAATACATTTGTGAAATCGTGTGTATATACAATCTATATAACTGAAATAGGTATTTGACTGTGAAAACCAAGGATGAGTAATATATCCAAAATAATATGGAACTATTACATTAAACATTAATTCGCATCATCAGTTTAAAACCAAAATTTTTAAATTAATTGTCTATGCAACACAATTCGATGTACATACATAACAGGTACCAGTATTTTAGATAAGACTCGAATAGAAATCTTCATTAGATATAATCAGTGACAGGCGGTTACCAAAGGTTGGGAGGAACATTGTCATAATCGTATGTTCACCGCTTGTTGGACATGGAGTACATCAAAGGACTGCTTTGTAATCATGCTGCTGCTATTGCTTTGTGTAAAAATAACTCATTTTCTTGCTGTTATGCTACTATTGAGAAGTCAATAGGAAGTAGGCAAAGATGAAAATGACTCCTAAACGACAGTTGGTTTTGTTTTTGTCTAACTGAAGTTTTGTTATGGCTAACTGAATATCTTCATTTTACATACAATTTTCCTAATTTCGGAAAATTCTTCCGTGTGACTTTCGTGCTTTTATACTTGTGGATTTCTCGTAATGAATTCAATTCTATGGATTTGGGATCTTTCATTTTCAAAAATTCGCGCACCCAGGTCTTTTTATTAGTCGCTACATAAAGCGGAATCCGGTGTACGACGCAACTTACTGTATCTCAAAAGTAAGTAGGAAAATACAAAACCTGGTCATTTTGACTGAGAATTAACCCTACGGGATTTAAGTAACTTAAGTAAAATATTTCAAATTCGAGCCACTTCACAACGAAAAGGATTGCGTCAAATATGAAAAATTATCAAATATTCGAGAGTTAAGCCATAGCTAAATATTGAAAAATATTCCCAAATAAATTCCAGAAAATTTTTACAAAATTTAGACAATATCGCGAACAAAAGTGCTTTCAATAACCGGCATTAAACAATTAGTAAATTAGTAAGTGATCTTAACCTACTGACTTTCAATATTATAGAATTACAATTGGCAGTGAATACATGCTAAAATGATGACGTTAAATCACAAATTACGCAACATACACGGTGCACACTGGTCATAGTTCACGTTCGTCACAGAATTACGCACGTAATGACGTAACTACACCGACATTGAAACTTACGATGAGACCCTCTGCTGCCTCACGAGCATAATCTCGGTTTAAAGCTAGGTGATTGGAGTCTTCTGTGCTGCACTCAATTTGAGAAAAATCCGGAAAATTCCGGTTTAAATCGACTCCGCGAACATTTGCTCGCCCTGTCATGTAGTCTTTTGGAAACGGCTGAGAGATATAAGATGTTGCAAAGAGCGATTTCATTTCATCAGAAGTTCCAATATTTAATATTATTGTGTGTCATGTTTATATGGATTTACACCGTGGAAATAAGATAAAATAAAATCAAAACCACGGATATCACTTCTTATCATGGCACCAGGAGTTGTTCCAATAACGATTGGCCCGAAAGCAGAGAGGATATACATACTACATTGAGATTGTAATAGCCTAAATTCGTAGAATAGAAACGTTTGACTTATTTCAGCATTTTTATTGCAAGATGTAATAAAGACCGGCGAGATTCCGGTACTTCCAACCAAATATCGTAGCTCCTCACATATCCTTAGGGTATAATTGCTTGATAACTGATAATTGCTTTCAGTAAAAGCAAATATTCAAATAATTCTTTAATTTTCATGGCAAATGAAAACCGTGATGAGCAGTTTCATAATGTTAAAAACAGATTCATACATACCGTATTATAAGCTTGTTCATAGCCATCTGGATTCATTGACACGAGAACATGAATGCGAACGTTATTAACGAGATATTTAATCGTATCATTTCCCTGAAAAAATGCCATGAAATTCATAAATTTGATTCAAATTTTCATTCATCGCCACAAAACAGGAAACGTATCGGGTATATGGTTTAGAATGGAGTGCACGATAATGCGTTTCTCAAAGCAATCCATTTTCACAACCTTATGGAATATGCATCAAAGTGAGTATCCTAACCATATTAAAAACAAGCTTCCGTATCTTCGACTCGGGTGAGCAGCAATATTATTTATAATCCAAGTCTAAATCATATTTACGCCACACATATGAGGTAAGCAGAAATAGAATTTTCTCGAAAGATATTTTATTATTCGTGAAGTATACTAAATAAATCAAAATTTGCTGTTCCGCGGCCACACAAGCCAAACACACATTTTATTTTTTATTTTTTTCTATTTTCTAGGTATTTTGAGGGTACACCCGTAGTATGAGTACCAGGTTAGGGTTAGGCCATATTTTAACCCGATTTATCTTATTTTAGTTCTATTACGAGTTCGGGAACTGTCTGTGTTAGCCAAGTGAATATACCCACTTTACACAACTTGATGTAAAGTAGGCGAAAAAAATTAGTTACCTCCATATTGGTACACATACTTCTGGACGCCATTTCGAGTCGCGCGAAACTTTAGTAGATTCAATGTAGACCAATATAGCGTATGACACTGTACAACTTGGGAATACCATAAATGTAAAGGCGTAGTGAAAGCAACATTAAAAGTATTGAAGAGAATATAATTAGACTGATGAATGTTGCGTGATGGTTTACACTTTTAAAACGTTCCTAACCACTGCCGTAGTATTCCATCCAGTCTCATTTTTCGTTTGTTTTAATAAGATGATATTTCGAACACCTGTGTACGACGGTGCATATTCATAGTCAATTTCATTTGTAATTGCGCTAATCTTGTTTGAGAAATTACCGGTCTGCGGGAACAACTAATATCTGAACATATGTCTCTGTTTATTTTAATAATGAATGGCACCTAATGACCTATTGTAATCCTTTTGTTAAATAGTGTTCATATTAATGTGGCCGCCTAGCAGTTTCCCATGCCGACCGATTCGCCCAAAGTGTAAAAATCTGGTATAGAAAATTATGTCAGTCCTGGTTATGCTCAAAACACCAAAGCGAGTCCGATAAATATTTTGCAATTTTCAATTCACTCGGGCGTTATACTGATGGAGATTAATCTAATTTTCAATATGGATTGATTAATCAGTAAAATCAATAGAATAATTTTAACATTTTTTCACGTATTATTGAACAAAATATTATGGAAATGCCAGCATTTGAACTGTTTTTAAGCTTTTTCCTATACTAAAAATAGACTGCATTATCCCTGACAAAACATTCGCCTCAAATGCAAAGAAAAACGAAATGAATATAAAAAGGAAAATAATTGCAAAATTCGATCAATATAAGTTACTTTTGAAAATACAATCGGTTATCCGTTGTCGTCCATATTGTTTATCACCATCAACAAAAAAACATACCTTTTTATATTCATTGCACATATACTGGACTAAGTTAAGAAGGAGTTCTCTTCCGACAACTTCGTTTCCATGCATATTTCCCACATATTTGAATTCCGGTTCACCTGAATAAAACGGATATCGTCACTTGTATATACCGCTCTTTCTATCAGTTAGAAATAAAAGGTTAGATTTCAATCAAGTTTGTTTTTGTGCTATGATGTTGACCGACAAATTATAACATTGGCATTGGCGTTGGTCTACAAATTAAGTTCCATCAATATAACAATACCTGGTGTAAACATACAAAAAATTTTGTGGGTGAATATACAATGATGACGATTTCGACGCACTGGACTACTATAGAAGGCAGGGTTAATTCTTTTCGGGGTTGAAGAAGAGACTAAACTCTAACAATCACCCTCAAAATGATCAAAAAATTCTTTTGTATACGTCGTATTTATGCACATTTCATTCCGAACAAGAAATACACAAGCAGCTACTGCTAGTTACGGAGCCTCTATAATAGTTTAATTAAATAAACCCCAACATTCCGATTCCGCATTGTCCCATCTAAAACACACCATGGGATAGGTGAGGGGATGGATTTTAACTTGTGATGTAACAGATTAGTGTTTGAGGTACACGCATGCTTTTCTGTAAAACTACTGCTCCAAACTGTTAGAAGAAATTGTCGAATTTGCATTATCTATAATATCATCACTCTTCAAAATCGATTTTTTGCGACTATAAATAAATTAGTAGTGGTATATCATAACTCAGGTATGAGGGTCAAAACCCAAAAGAGTAAAGGTCGCCTTCTGGCTTTTAGTATCGACGTATTTATTTAACATATAAAGCTTGTTTGTCTTGGAGTCGCCTGAATTTGAACAGGAATGGTGTATTACAGACCTCCCAGTTATCAAATATTATTTGAAACAACGATTAATGAATAATCGAACATTCGTTATTCTTTTTGTACCATAATATAAATGGAATTATATGCGATTAGTTCCACCTTCATATATAATAAGCAGCCGTCATATTGGTATTGGAAATTGTGGGCAGTTCATATCAGGGATATAAGTGATCTGATGCTATCTACGATAAGATAGCATTTTTCAAACGATGTTATGAACTATTCGCTTGTTACCAATTTAAATCATCTTGAAAATTTATAATAGTCTTATATTTCGACCCCGTCCTAATAATTCACTCAAAAATCATCGCCATTTTTTTCAATCGATTCTTGCCCAGAATTCAAAAAATCTAGTTATTGTTATTCATGAGAAACGCTCCAAAATGACCAAACTTGGAGCACGGAACACATTTTTTGACTTTTTGGGGGGTAAAAAATTCCTAGATTTGATGGATTAAAATCCAAAGTATGGTAGTATTTCATATTCATTTTTCAAGAACAACAATTTTTAACGTGATGGGTATAAGAAATATATTCAATTGCTTGCCTTTTTTATAAACTGTATTATTGAAAATCGACACAAAGCAAGCTAACATATGATCTTTCAGGTATTCAATATATCCTATGTAACAATCCAAACATGTATATACTAAAATAACTACTATATGACCATCCGTGCATTGTTTTTCAAGAAACAAAGACAAACACAAAATCCAATATTTAATCTTCAAAGGTATATTTACTTTTGCGGTGGACATAACGCCGTCCGTCTGTCTATACGTCAGAATCCAAAATGCCGGAAGATCAATATAACGCAAAAACACGTATACGATATAACTCTAATTAGCCAGCCAAAAAATCCATATTTTTTCGATTTTTGAGTTCTCCTGGGAAAAGCCACGGGGTTAATTTCATATTAGTGTGTGAAGATATCCCATAGGTATAATGCAAAGGTAGTTATTATGAAAATTAATACAAGAGCTGCCATTGATGGAGGTGTTTTCGCTCTCGCAAATGCCAGGATATCGATTTTGGGATTCGTCGTTCCCGCGTCTTTGCATAATATGCATTGTGTTTATGAATAATTCAACATAAGTAATATTGTAAATATGCTTTCATCATATGACGTAAAATTTCCAGGTTTCGTATGATTTTGTCTTCAAATTTCACTCGCGTTTATGTGTGGCTAGAATATTGCACAACACATATATTTGGTATAAAATTGATCTATAGCCTGCGTGAAATTTAAATGTGTATTATAATACATATGATACAATACACATGAACATAATCTGTACATATTTATTACTAACCTTTTTCGTGGACATCTGGCTTGTCTGATATTACCAAGACCAAAAGAGCACGTCCCTGTACGCTTTTCCCGATGGAGTATAATCTTGTTATGTCTGAAAGAATGAATATGCAAAATTGATAGAAATTTCGATGCAAGAATATAATTATGTACAGCAATATCGAATACAGCTAAATATACTTAGGGACTGTGTACTGCAGGTAATCACAATACTCATTATAATACATGGGGAATGGCCCTAATTGTAGTCGTACTAATTTAGTTCGTAGCCGAATGTACGAAGACAAATCTCGATGATTCTCTTCCTTCAGAATAAGTTTTCAGGCAGAAATTTGAAACCTTAAAACTTATTTAGCAAACTCTTGTTATCCGAAGGTCAATTGAATATGGAATCCATTCATCTCTTACCATTGCAATCATCAAATGCTTACCTGGACATTTTTTGTTGACTGCTTTTAATATTTGTGTCATATCTTTGTAATTATGATGCTTATCTAGCTCAATTTCATTGCCATCGCTGCTTCCCATAGCATGGGAGGTCGAATAGAGTATAATAACGCTTATTAACAACACGTATCTCGACATATTGATCTTTAAATATATAAATTGCTACAAATTAACTGATAAACCACTAAAATACAACCAAATGATACTTGAAAGTCTGTCTTTTCAGACGATACATCAGTCATTTGATAATATTCCTAAAACACGTCCCTCGCCCTCTCATATACGCTTGTGCGTCCGCAGAAAATAGAGTACAATATTTTTGCTGGTTCAAACTATTTATCTGTTTATAATATTGATGCTATAAAATATTTTCATCAGAAAATATTTAATTGCTAGGCTGGATCATATCTCATGAATTTCTAACGAATCCCGCCTGCACAGCTGATTTGTTAACATTTAACGCAATATAGGTAGTGTCTTCTTATCATACGAAAAATGAATAGTCTTTACTCAGTACAGACCAGACAAGATCCACCACCCGGAGACGTTTGTTATTTGTGGCGCATCGCCAATTGCGCATGAAAAAATGATTTTGCTATCGGCTTTTTCTGTACTTGAATAAATAATCACCAAGTCAAGAGCTATGTAATCTTATACTCTATTTGTAGACTACGATGTTGGAGTATGGTCTGTTCCGTAAACATAGTATAGCTCTTTCTTTGCATTTCATAATACCTAAGTACATATCGGAAACGTATTCTCATAACAGAGACTGTAATATAAAACAGCACATCTGGAATACGATGTTTCCTGTATCTATCTATGAATAATAATAATACACATACTAACGTTACGACAGTCATACGAGTTGAGACCGTATGATACCGTGAAATCAAACGAGGGCGGAATCCGACGTACGATTGTAATTTACGCATGTAAGCCGTGAGGACCTTTTTTCGACTGTAATTTTATTATTCTCTCGTCGGAATCGAATGCACCGCTTCTTGTGGGATAAAATTATTGAACGGTTTCAGTATAAAATCATGACTAAAGATACGCTAAAAATATTTTGCCTATTGAGATAGGCTAGATAAGATGTTCTATTTAATACTGTGAAAAAATAAATTCGGTAAAAAAGCGAAATAGTATGACAAATCACAGATTCCCATTCAATTACGGGCTTATTATTCAAACATGTAGGTTTATAGCATAAATGATTGGTAAATGAATGTGATGTTACCGTATATTGCTATTTCGTAGATTGTCTCAGAACTTGCAAGTCACCCGTTCACCCTTCAGCTTCAACGCCCAAGTGAATGAAGATGCGTTAAAAATCTCTATATGTTTTTATTCGTAAATTTCCACAACACACAGAATAAATCTTAAAACATTTATCCACACTAGCTTTGAATGGCTTACATCGTCTTCCCCTCCTATCGAAAGATATCGGAGTCGTATTTATACGTTGATCATAAATCCAATTAAATGCTGTAAACGTGAGCTCGTGATTTACGTTATCAACAGAAACTCCTATTATCTCAATAAGGATAATTAGGTATATCGTACGGATGGAACTTAGATATAATTATTTCAATCAGTGCCAAAGGTCTTGAGAATATAGATTTTAATTTGATAATGACTGGGTGGAACTTGTTATGTTCTTAAACCTGGTGTAATTTGATTCCTACGAAAGTCTTTGTTCGAATTTTGGGAAAAATTAACTTTGTCATGATGATTTCAACATGAAATGGGGTACATTTGGGGGTTAGTTGCTATATTATCTCCCCATCTTACTAACTGGAAGTTTAAAGATTTGGCACCCTCTAATAAATTGAAAATATATAGAAAAATACAATACACAATGCTAAAATTAATGATATATATAGGTCAAAAAAATATTTACATGTATATGATCTACAATGAGACACGACATTGAAATAAAGAAGAGTTTATAGAAAGAGTAAAGATTGTAAAGTAGAATTACAGAAGGATGGCGTATTTTTATTTTAAAAATTTTGGTTTGGACGGTTAAAACATATTTTCAATTTAATGTATTTCGCTAAGTTAAAATACTTATACTCGCTTTATCGCATTGTTACGATTTTGTAGACCTAGTTGGTCAATATATGCTTGTCCCGTGTCGGGAAGAAAAAACGCGTTGCGACCTAGTTGGTCTATATATGCTTGTCCCATGTCGGGAAGAAAAAAACGCATTTTTAAGTTTATGCCATCTCAGGGCTTTTTTGAAAAAATAACGCTTTTGGATACAATTTTTGTTAAACGAGCTTATTATTTCACCGTTCTATATGACGGCTTTGTAAATAATTAAAAGTATGACTCGCTCGAATCTACTTTTAGAAAGCATTTTGATTCTAACGAAATCTATTTAATCGAAAAGGAATGCTAACCACAAATATTCAATAATATAAATCTTTTTAAAGGTATTTGAAATTAGAATATTCAAAGTTTTACCATTAATTAATTTATAAAAATTGAAAACCAAATGAAACGCCATGTATATTTAAGAAGAAAAAGAAGTACTTTACCTTAGTATTAGTGGAAGAATGAAAAATATCTGTCTCAATGAGGAGAAAAACCTGCAAATCATGAAACAAATTGTAGAATAACATGCTCCTGATTTGTATATCCATTAGGTAAGCGCGACAATTTATCTCTATTGTTTGGAATAGAGCGCGTAATTTACCGTAAAACAGTCCATGTATATAGTTCATTGTTTTCAACAGTTCGTTTTTGATTAGGTTTTTCACCTCGAACATATATCATGTTCTAAAAGAGTTCATTTCGATCGATGTTCAATACAGTCCATATTCATGATTTTAACGTTTCCAGAGTCCGTTACCATAGTTCAACTGTTTTCAATTGAGATTATTGTCTTTTCATAATGTTTCTGATCATATCGGCTTGTCAACAATTTGCTACTTCAATCGTTGTTCCAGGCAATTCCAATCTCCCAGACGTTCGTAAGTTGGTCGAATTTTATTTTCGCACGTTGTGTATAGACGGTTTCTCGGCAATTGTTGATAGCTTTCGCTTGGTCAGCTTTTTGGTTGATTCCGTCCAATTGTTGCTTGTCCTGGTTGTTGTCCGTTGATCTGGTCCGTTTCAGAAGGTTAATTCAAGTCGGTTTTGTCACCATTTATTGCATATATTATTTGTAAATGGATGTGATGTTACCGTATATTGCTATTTCGTAGATTGTCTCAGAACTTGCAAGTCACCCGTTCACCCTTCAGCTTCAACGCCCAAGTGAATGAAGATGCGTTAAAAATCTCTATATGTTTTTATTCGTAAATTTCCACAACACACAGAATAAATCTTAAAACATTTATCCACACTAGCTTTGAATGGCTTACATCGTCTTCCCCTCCTATCGAAAGATATCGGAGTCGTATTTATACGTTGATCATAAATCCAATTAAATGCTGTAAACGTGAGCTCGTGATTTACGTTATCAACAGAAACTCCTATTATCTCAATAAGGATAATTAGGTATATCGTACGGATGGAACTTAGATATAATTATTTCAATCAGTGCCAAAGGTCTTGAGAATATAGATTTTAATTTGATAATGACTGGGTGGAACTTGTTATGTTCTTAAACCTGGTGTAATTTGATTCCTACGAAAGTCTTTGTTCGAATTTTGGGAAAAATTAACTTTGTCATGATGATTTCAACATGAAATGGGGTACATTTGGGGGTTAGTTGCTATATTAATTATTATTTATAGCATAAATGATTGGTAAATGAATGTGATGTTACCGTATATTGCTATTTCGTAGATTGTCTCAGAACTTGCAAGTCACCCGTTCACCCTTCAGCTTCAACGCCCAAGTGAATGAAGATGCGTTAAAAATCTCTATATGTTTTTATTCGTAAATTTCCACAACACACAGAATAAATCTTAAAACATTTATCCACACTAGCTTTGAATGGCTTACATCGTCTTCCCCTCCTATCGAAAGATATCGGAGTCGTATTTATACGTTGATCATAAATCCAATTAAATGCTGTAAACGTGAGCTCGTGATTTACGTTATCAACAGAAACTCCTATTATCTCAATAAGGATAATTAGGTATATCGTACGGATGGAACTTAGATATAATTATTTCAATCAGTGCCAAAGGTCTTGAGAATATAGATTTTAATTTGATAATGACTGGGTGGAACTTGTTATGTTCTTAAACCTGGTGTAATTTGATTCCTACGAAAGTCTTTGTTCGAATTTTGGGAAAAATTAACTTTGTCATGATGATTTCAACATGAAATGGGGTACATTTGGGGGTTAGTTGCTATAGGTTCAATGGACATGTTTTTGAAAGCCACAAAACTAACTGGAGTAATGATCTGATATCTCAACGCTCATACTCAGAACCGTATACCAAGGTTAGAAATACAATCTAAACTTTTTATTAAGTTGGAACCCATCCAATCAATCAATCAATCAATCAATCAATTTCATCCGCACCAGAGGCTACTGTGTTTCCCTGAAAATAAGACCTACCTTGAAAATAAGACCTAGCCTAAATTTTAAAAATGATTTTAATAAAAGCCCGCCCCTTAAAATAAGACTTTGTGAATAACGCGAATTTTTTTGACCTAGTCGATAGCGAGAAATCGCCCCTGCACGTTTTAAATGATTGATAATAATTTATGTTTTGCAATTATTTTGAATAAAACTTGTTATTCATAAGTAAATGGATATCGGTTTTCATATTTTGTATATTTGTAAATCTCGTAATTCTCTACTTTGTAACCTTGTTTTTGATAAATGAAAATATAAGACATCCCCCGAAAATAAGCCCTTTCGGAAGGAAATTGAAATAAGACCCAGTCTTATTTTGGGGGATACACGGTACCATGATGACGAGCGTCTCACGAACGATTGCAGTGGGTAAATTTTTTCAATTCTGTAATCTAACTTATTTTAATTCCCAAAATTGGAACATGTGCCCAATGCCCATATACTTTACAATTTGCCCTTCAATGATTTTGGATAAATATCAAACAATAACGTAAAAATGATTCGTGTTGCTTGGACAAAAATGAATAGTATGATTTTGATTGGAATGAGGGCAAATCAGCTTGAGGCAGTGAAGTGAAATTTTTCGATAGAATCTGATGGGAAAATCTGTTGCTTTTTGATGTACAGTCTGTTTTTTTGCTCTACCCACTTCTGAATTCGATCATGAAGATATAGAACAGGGTACCAACGTCAATCTGGCGGCATTATATTCTACTTGCATAATAAGCCCGACTTTTGGCCCGACTTTTGTTGGAGATTATTCGGCAAAAGACTTACATGTCTTGCTATGAAGGTATTCTGATATGAGTTACTTTTCTGCTAAATACCTACACAAAAAATTGTCAGTAGTAGGTTTTGAGGATAGTAGACACGACAGGGCAATCTTTAACTTGAAAATGATGAAAAAATTGGAATTGAATTTGGAGTCAATTCGCAAATAGCAAATTTGAAACCTAAAGTCTTAGTGCCATTAATTCGCAGGCATGGAAGGGACAATGCGTGGGAAATCAGCATCAATAAGTCGATTCCCTAAATTGTTCCACCAAACAACACTGTTCCTATGTCAAATTCGTAGAGTGTTACATCATAAAATATTCTATGTAGGCACCTCAAAACTGTATCAATTTAACCTCAGATTATTGCAATGGTTGTTGCAACCCATTACTGTATACTGGAATTCTTTTTTTGTGTTTTAAACAAATTAACTCTCTGGCGGCCTGTTTTGATTGCATAACACCCCACACTCACCAAGTCACAACGAAACGGCATTGCAGCTCATGACAATACAATTTGAGCTCAATAAAATATTAAAATGTTCAATGCAAAATTTTTGTACACAAATATGAAGCCAACTTTCCAAGTTCGATTTACGTTTATAAAAGAAACGGTTCGTGGGCGTGTATAAATGATATGATTTTTCCGATCATTTTAACTCTTTTTTATACAGACAGAAAACACTATACGATGTATTCCTACCAGGACAACTAAGTTTTGTTAAAATTACGACTTAATCAGAAGACTTAAACGTAAGTGAAACAAAAACTTGCAAGAATTGGACTTTTTTGAGAGGCTAGAGGTTTCACATTACATATTTAAATAAAATGTAATATATGCAAGTTGGTAATTATAAAATTATTATAATTCAAATAGTAGTTGGGTCAAAGGATCATTATAACCAATATTGTGAACATCATGTCATTACAATCGCGTATCTCAGTCTTACATCGCACATTGCTTCCGGTATTTTTCAACCGTAAACAAAGAATAATAGCCGTAGCCTGACTTTCCTAAGCTTGTGCCATAAATGCCCAACTAGTTGCAATCAAGATTTATCCGTGAGCCCTGTATGTTGATGATAGCTATCACATATGCGGTATCGTTTGTTAGACTCAAGACGTGCAGGTTATATTGTATTGTTATATTATACTTTGGTGCTTCAGAATCATTACATAGTCTTCAAATTTGGTCGTGTTGATCGGATTAATCAAAAATATATACTAATGTATCTTTCCATATACTCAAAGGAAGATATCAAATTAGGCAATCTTCTTGATGTTGGTATTTCAGAAGTGAACTTTGGTTGAATTTAAAAAAAAACAGTTTGGGGTGAATTTGAACAGAAAGACATGGCAAGCATAAACCAAGTGATAATATACGAAGTTATTTTGTTAAGGAAGTCAGAAGCTAGTTACTTATGCTTGCAGTATGCCAGCACCTTTTCGGATATGGCGACATGTAAATGGGCATCAGTGATTGGTACATGTGAGGTATACAAATATGGTATTGGAAATTCCCGAAAACTATAAAAAGAGTCGACTTTCAATAAAACCTTCATAACATTAGACGCAATATAATCGTTTCATAGACATGCTTTCGATGTAGTAACCATAATAGCAATAATGGGAAATGGGGATTGTTTCAAAGTATGAAGTACGTGAAGATACCATGTTTAAATGCAGGTAAATTTTACGTGAGGCAACGTCGAACATGTTACAGATGGATGGTCATAATCGGCAGAAATCAGTATGCGACAGAATTAAAGAATAAATCTATAGTATTTATTGTATAACTATAGACGAGGGTTAACTTTTTAATGTTTCAGTATAATTACAACATGGAGTTAAGCTGCAATGCAATAGGATCTCTTGTTCTATTGAGTGTTGTCAGTTTCCTACAAGGATTCGGTGCTGTTGGACTATTTTATACCACTATCTCGACAATAGAAAAACGGTGAGAAAACCTCGTAGATATATTCTTTTGTTGACGAAAATGATTCGAAAATAGGAGAATAATATATATATTCAAAATTCAGTCGCCTAGAGCAGGGGTTTCCACCTTTTTTTTTTCAAATGACCCATTTTTTTTTCAAATATAAATTTTGTAAAATCTCGCGACCCAAAGATGTGCTCACATACTAAACGACATGCAGTGCCTTTATGGCCGCAAATTTAAATGATAAAATAAGTCTATTTTATATGACATCTATCTACCGGAAACGACCACAAAATCAGGAAGCTGCGCTTGTTTGCCATCAGCGAGTTTTTAAAATTCTAAAGCAAAATAGATGCTGCCAAGTTTTTATGCTGTGATACTTCCCACACATACAATTACTATTGAGCAACACTTCGATACCGAATTTAATGGACAATAAATTCTAGTGCGAATGAAATCACCACCCTCTAACTTTTTGTTGAAAAAACAAGCGACCCATGCCGTTCTTCAGACGACCCAGTTTTGGGTCGCGACCCATCATTGGTTGGGAAACACTGGTTAAAGCAAACTCAGGAATCTAATTAGGAAATATAGCAAGGCAGCGTTGGCCGAGTTTTTAGAGGTTTGATTCATAACATCTTAGCTGAATGACAGGTCATGAAAACCACAGAAAAAAAAACTGATTTTATTGACTTTAGTCCATGATATTTCATTTTGGACTTGTTTAAAGAGTGAGAAAATGTTTTGCCCAAACCATCTATTTTACCGTGAATTCTACTAACCCAAACACTTCCCCAAAAGCTTATATCGATCCTCCCCTAGCATATACCATCGATTTTTCATACCTATGAGCAATATGATTCAAATCAAATAGGAGCTGATGCTGCCTCACCCAATCTTCTAATGTGTCTGCCAAAACAATTTAACGTAGCAATGAAATAATGACAGACGTTCTTCAAATCAAGATTCAATTGTTTACTTGCCAAAAAAATGTTTCTTTTTTCAGGTTCGATCTAACAAGTTCACAAATAGCCGTCATGTCTAGTACTTTTGATATTGCGGCTTGCATTACTTTACCAATAGTTTCATACGTTGGAGGCAAAGGATATAAACCGCGTTGGATCGGTTCTGGGTCCATACTTATTGGACTTGGAGCTCTCATGTACGTGCTTCCACATTTTGTTGCTCCTACATACTCATCTCTACATGAGAATGTTAGTGAGTGTGAGTTGAGTAATATGACGATGGCAAAGTGCAGCCACTCTCACAATCAAAATTATAGGTGAGTTAGTTGTTGTATGCAGTATATGTGATTGGACATGAGAAAATATTCTTGGTATGAATCCAGCATTCCCATCTTTTTGATTGGAACATATAGAAACTACAAATTCATCAAATTTTGTCTCAGAGCTGTCATAGGGCTGCCGTACTGCCTGATACCCCTGGTATATGACTTTCGCAACCCATTCTCCGCCAATCTTTAATACATATAAAAAACTAGAAATTCATCAAACTTCGTCTCAGTGCTGTCATGTTGGTGTCGATCTCAGTAACATCCATATGGATTTAGCAGCCCGTTCTCTGCCAATCTTGTATACTTCCTTGACATTCGCGCCCTTCAATCTAAACTGCAGAATTCTACTAGCAACTTTGAGCAATCTCGGTTTCTTTTTACCCAAATAAAAAATAACTGTATGTTGTAATAATTCGAAGATTTCCGCTATTCATTTTTATAGGCATTCATGGGCAAGTACAGCCAACTAAATTTAATATAATTAATTGTCAGTTTAAGGCATCAAAGAAAGTGTGAAACCAAAGAAAATGGCCAACAATTTATTATGTCAAAAATGTTTCAAAAACATCTGACATGTAACAATTACTGGGCATTGAGATTATAAGGAAAATTTATCCGGATTTTACTAAAATTTCACAATTTATATTCACATAGGGTATTTTTCTACGCCTCACAAGTTCTCATCGGTATTGGTACAATATCAATGAGTATCTTTACGCTTGTTTATTTGGATGAAAACGTACAACAACGATATTCAGCAACTTATATGGGTATGTAAGTACGTAATTTCATGCTATGTCCATGTTATATATATATATATATACAGGGTGGCCCAAAAGTAGGTATACAGTTATTTTATTTATTTTTTATAATCTTCCAAGCAGCTAGAAAACTAATGTAAAATTCACACTAGATTTATTATCTAAAAAAATAAGCAATTTTTGTGGTACTTAACAAGTAACATAAAGTGAACTGCAAGTAGCTTCAAAGCATATAAAATAGTTTAGTAACTGTATATCTACTTTTGGGCCAACTTTTGGGCCACCCTGTATATATATAATACTCCCATATACCAGAGATCCGTTGCCATCTTCTAAAAACTGCTGAGACTTCTGCCCCCCTGCTCCTATAAAACCTATCTAATTTTGCTTTTAAAGCACTTCATTTAGTTATTTTATGCCCATGTTTACTAATAAAAAGGCTGACAAACGAAAGACGCTCGCGTGACACCTCAATAGAGAAGGCCGAGGGTTGCTGCTATATACATACTTTTTTGAAAAGCTTGAAAGTTAATATACTATGGATATCATCAATCCGTGTATCTAATAACAACGACAATGCCATTCTTATGAGCCATTCTTATAAGTGAATGGAGAAAACCCATAACAGTCAATAATTTCTGGTGTAATAAATCCCCCCCAAATCCCCCCCCCCCCCCCTCCCCCTTCTCTAATATATCCGATAAAACTAACACATAACAATCTATTGGATCGTAACTAATGAAATGTTAGAAAACAATAATTTGAGTCCTTGTATTTAAATGGTTTGTTATACACTGTTTATCCTCTTGCAGGTATCTTACAAGCAAGTGGATCGCTGGGTCCAGGAGTCGGATATTTTCTTGGTGGATATCTCCTTAATCATTATACATACTTGACAAATGAGTAATATTATTACTTCGAATCTTTTTTTATCGTGAAAGATATTGTATGTTTGTTAAAAACCATTTTTATTATTGTATTTTCAATACTGAATTGGCGAATAAAATTTGACACTCGATAAGCAAAGATTATTTTATATAAGATTCTCTCATTCACTAGATTTTCAATTTTTTCAGTGCCAACGTGAGTCGAAAAAGTTCATCATGGATTGGAAATTGGTGGATTGGATTTGTAATTGGCGGAAGTTTAATCATTATATTGTCAATACCAATATTTTTTTTCCCTGAAAAACTTCGTAATATTGGTGAATCAGCAGAAGAAGAAGAAACCTCTTTGATTGGAAACGACGCAAAAAATAAAGATGAAAAAAAGTCACTGAGGTGAATAAAAAGTTATTTAGTTCAATAAATTCTGGAAATTTTTGTACAAACATTTTGTAGATGAAAATATTCCAAATTTAATATAAAAATATATATAAATTGGAACCAAACTCATAACTAACTTTTTGATGAAAACTCACTCTTAAATCATAAAAAGTTTAGCTAATATTTAACGTGATATTAAACAGGAATACCGTGTTATATACAGTAAAAGGGCAGCTTCTTTAGTGAAACAATTACAGTAAACCATGTATCACGATCAGAAAAGCGGAGATTTTTTGCAGTTTTAGTAGCAAGGACACTGATCTCTAAGCGAAAATATACACGTGGTCACCAAAGTTCCAAGTTCATGAAAAAATGGTCTCAGTCACGACAAATGCAGTATTCCAGTTGTTTACGTATATGCTAATAACATTGTCATTCTAATTTCAATCCAGCTTCGCGGATGCTTTTAAAAGTTTTGTTTTGCTGCTGAAGAATCCATCAGTTGTTTTATTGTCTCTTTCTAATTCCTTAAGCTCTGGTATGGCAATAGGATTGAGTACATTTGGACCGAAATACGTTGAATCAGTCTTCAATTGTTCATCAACTATGTCAGCATATTATATAGGTGAACAAGTTATTATTTGACAAGTAAATATAGGGCAAAGTTAAATATTACAAGATCTTATCGAGGAAAAAACTGAATATTTTTCAATGACAACATATATTCGCTGTGCAGGTATTTTAAGTTTAGTGACTGATTCGAGTTCCAACGTACTTGGTGGGATCTTTGTCACGAAATTTGATCTCACTGTGAAACAAATGGTCAAGTTTTGCATGGCGTGTTCGGCACTTACAACTGGATTTCTTTCTATATATTTTATATCATGTAAAGATAGAGGTAAGTTCATTTTTCCATGAAGTTCATTACAAAAATTGCTAAACTAAACTCCGCGTCTTTGTAAAGTTCATAAACATTAGGTTTAAGTAGTCGAGGATATGGTCAATATCGGGGCGGTTACTGTGCCATCCACGGATTCTTGGTTTGAATGCCCAATTGTTTACGAAACGATGCGAAAATGATTTCAACTAGTAGTAATATATTGCTATCTCTGCGCTAAACTATATGTGGATGACCAGGGTAGGCCATGCTTAGGCCATTGTAGCAGCAGTGCACTCTGAATTTGCATATAGACCATGCAATAAATCCAAGTATAACTTATTAAATTTAACCATTATAAATTATTATTATGTATAGGTCAGTGTATTTAATTAATCTGTTTTGATTCTGTACTTTGTTGAAAGGAAATATTGTATGACTAATTTTCTATTATCGAATCTTTCTTTTTGGTTATTATTCTACTCTTTTTACAATAGAAATAGAGGAATTGGAGATGAAAAAACTAAATATGAGTTCAAATCTATATCGATTAAGTTGTGGATATGCAGTGAAACAATACAAGCCAATATGTGCAAGAAACAATGTAACGTACTTGACATATTGTGACGCAGGATGCTTGAGGATTGATGAAGTAAGATAAACTGCAAAATCAAATCTAGAAGCGGAGAAGCAGAATTTGACAATAAAGAAGTAAACACAAAATCACCCATAATCGTATCTCCGTCCGCTGATATTGATAAAATGGCTTCCATTTTTTCCATTAATTCGAGGCTTTTTGGATCAGTATCCAATGCATACAACATTTAGTCGTGCAGTTAGATAATTCTGTTCACATTTTCATTATAATTCACTTACATTCAAATTTATTTTGTTTATTCAAAGACATACCGAAACTGCTCAGATTTGGTTGATTTTTCGGAAGGTTCCAACTTGTGGAATGCCACTGCCACAAGTGGGAGATGTAATGGAAAAGAAACATGCTCGCATCTTCTGCCTGTATTTTTAGTATTTTTCGGGATTGGAAATTTCATATCAGGTTTCTCAAATCAAGCAGCGCTACAGGTATTGTATGCTCTCTGTGTACGAGTGAAGGATAGAATGAGAGTGGGAGAGAGAAATAATGCGAGAGAGTAGAAGACAATATGTATATATAACTGTCTTTGTTTATATTTGTTACGATACCGTTAATTACAAATAGCTATTTGGTTCCTATAACTCACTGTAGAAATATGTATGTCCGAGTAACGACTATAAGTCTTAAATTTATTACAGTTTGCATAATTAACGCTTTCTTGTTGCATGAAAATCCTTGCCAATTGTTGCAGTTTTGTCTGATTCTCATCTTTTCAATATTTAGATTTTGTGGAGAAGCGTACCATTCGAACAAAGATCATTTGCGCTTGGTATACTTGTGAGTTTATTTCAAAAATACTTTTCAAAGTATATTAATATTTGAATAATTAGCAAAATACTGAGATTTTCTATAATGCTATTAGGACCTCCTGAAGTATGCGCACCAAGATGGCGCACAACCTAAACATAGTATGTGTGTACCGGTTAGGATTCAGGTTGTGTGACATCTTAAGAAGCTGCTCTGGTGGATTATGTTTCTGAAAACCAAAAATACTCTCACTGTCCGAAGTTGATCTTACAAAAAGTGAATGTAGACGCACGTCTATGTGTCGCTGAGTGTAAAGAAATTGTGGTATACTCTTCCTATAATACACTATTTATATTTAGTTTTGTAATCTTCATATTCAGTCTCTCGCAACCCGCATACTCGGGACTATTCCATTCGCTATAATCTACGGAAAGATCATTGATTTATCTTGTATCATATGGAGTGAAGAATGCGGTAAATGCGGTTCGTGTCTTCTGCACAGTAGTGAAAGAATGCCAACTTATATCCTCATTTTATCAATGTCGTTGCAGGTAAAAAAGGTATTACTATATCACCCTTGTTTGTTCATTTTCGTCTGGATGTTTACAAAATTACAAGAACTCTCTTCGAAGGAACTAGGCTACAACTTCATACTTGAATACGCTGTAGACTCTAGAGCAGGGGTGTGCAAGGTTTTTGAACAAGGGGCCAAAAATTTCCCCACCTAGACTGGCGGGCCATGTAAGTGTGAGTTAAATAGCTAGATTTTATGAAAAATTTTTTATTTAGGGTGTTACAAAAGCATAAGTGGAAAACAATGAGCCTCGTGGCAAAACTTTATTTAATCGCAATCTCACCAAATTTCTCAAGCTTTTTTTTTTAGCTAAAACATCAAAATTTGGTTTTAGCCTGGTCGTGGAAGCATCAACCGGGCCAGATTGAATTGGTCAACGGAACGGATTTGGCCCGCGGGTCATAGTTTGGCCATGCCAGCTCTAGAGTGTAGAGTGTGACGTACACACTGTTGTCAACGCCAAAATTGACTCTTTAAATTAATAGTGTAGTCATTTATTTTGAACTACTATATATATGATATTACAATATTAAATTGTTGTATATTTAATATATCAAGGCTGCTTCGACTTTGTTATTGATTGCAATGATCAAAGTAAACGCAGCACCTGCAAAAGACAGTATGGAACTTGAAATAAATTCAACCAGTGTAAAGACAGAAGAATGAAAACTTGAGTTCGGATCGTAATTTCTCTCACAGAATACGAATAAATACGTACGTTATTGGGCCCAAAATTGTTGGCGGTTGTTTCTCCGATCTAAGTAGCCTGAGCGGTAACGTTATCGACAACAGCACCATGATGCCAAGTTCCTGGGTGGCGGATTCAATTGGGGATGGAATGCGAAAGAGAAAAGTACCGTATATTACTAATAGTATACGTATTGAGCAAAAGCCTAAATCGCCCGAAAATTTGATGACTCGCCCGAATGAGTTATGATCAAGAGAAAATAGGTTTGCAAATATATAACACTTACACCCACGGAAAGTGATTTGAATTTTTGCGACTATGAGAAAAGAAACTACAGTATAAACTGCGCAGATTTTCGGTGGTGTGTTAGTAGAAAATAGTGAATGATATATCATACTTTTCTGTAGGTTGGGCACTGTATTAGTTGGTACTAATGTTGTCATAAGTCCATTTTTGGTTTTAATCTTTTAAGCTTTCACAAATTGACTTTGAGGTGGTTTATTGGGTGTGAATAAACTCCCATTGCAATTTCAATTTTGTTACGAGGTCACTTCTCAATATATCTAAACCAGGTTTGTTTTATTTTATTCACTGTTATTCAAGTTTTTTTTTACTATATTTCATATATCTGTAGGGACAAACATATTATCTATGCTATCGATAAATAACCTTTGTAGTTTGAAATTTTACAGACTTTATGAACACAATATGTATTGCGAAATGGCATTGATCTGACTCTAAAGTTAAATGTCAATTATTTTACTACTACATAACAAGTTATCTTATTTCCATACTTATTATATAAAAAAGCAAACAACACATTTTCAATTTATTTAATAGTTAAATCCATTTTATTTGCAAATTCTATAAATTTACATGATCAATAGTTACAGATATACAAATAGTTATAAAAAAATAATAATATAAAAAAAATAATTTGAAGAACTTTTATTTTTGACAAAATTAAGGTATTTGTGCAACATGCCATATTTATAAAGGCGAAAATATTTGAAGTGAATTAATACAATAGTTGGGATCGTTTTTGAAAGTGCCTGTAATACGTAATCATATTATGAATAAGTAAACTACCTCAATTGCTTTCATTAGGCATAAAATTATTTCTGAAAAATCGTCGAAAAAAAAATCAAACAAATTTTCATAATACACGAGATATTAACTTCTGTTTAAGTATTTCTGCTGTCTACAAAAGCATTTTAATGTAATTTCCTAACCGGAAAGATTTGAGACATTTCAAAACAGTTGCTCTTTGCAAATCTGTGGCTATTTATTCGGAGCGAAATGAACGAAAAACCATCGTATCAAAAAGATTTAATTCACTGTATCGAGTTCGAATATATACAAAGTAACCCTTTACAAATACATGATATTATCAACAACATATTTCCGATACTTTTGTGACTGTCTCAAAATTGAGGTATTGGTAAAGGTGTTCGAGAAATGTTAAATCTGTGGTAGCTTTGTGAGTCGTATGTATCAGGTCGCAATTTCAAGTTTTCAATATTCATTCAGGACGCCGTTACCATTGTTTATTTTTATTTTTAAGTTTCCTGTGAGTCTTAGGAGATTCCATATTCTAACTCACGTGAACACTGTTTATTCCGCCAACCGTGTCCGCCTACGTCACAGCTGTCTTTGATTTCAAGAACTCAGCTCAGCCTCATTACCGCATAAATTGCATAGGCTACCGGTACTGCTTCCAATTAGTTATTAGGTCCTATGTCCATAGATTCGTGCATTGCTCTCTTGTTTTATGTGAAAAGCTTAGTCACAATGTGAAGATTTTAAATGTTGTGTGTCTTTTTGTAAGATAACGGAAGCTGTATTTTGAATTTGAAGAATCAACAAAACTGGCCTTCAATGTGTCACACTTTAGGCCTTGGCAAACGCTTCGTTGTCGTAAGATGCTGTGTTCGAGGGTAACTCATTACGATGATTATTTCCGTTTGTATTACTTTGAACTTCGGAAGTTGTCGTATCCATTTGAAGATCAGATGCACTGTCACTCATCAGAGGTGGTTTATACGTAATCAAAGCAAGAAGAATACAAAAAACGCTGAGGGCCTGTAGGTAAACAAAAATGGATTTAAAATCAGACATGGGGTGTTATAAAATTGTTTATGTTTAATTTGAATTGTCATAACCAGAACAAGTTTCACGAACATTGTGATGCAATAATGTAAAATACGGAACACGATGAAAGTAGACGAAGTACAAAGTTTTGGATATTTCACACTAATAAACCTATATACCATGGCAATCATAGCTGATTATCTCGCCATATCGACTAAAAATAATATTTTCCAGTAAAAGTATAATACTTATACTCAATCGATGTCCTATCCGAGAGTATAAAAGGTTTTATCCTTAATTTTAGTCTACTTTCGAATGGAATGACCCCAAAAAAAATTTGAGATCACCGGTATATGAACTGTATGCAAGTATCTTGATATTCGGTGGTTTGGCACAGTCTACTTTTAGCACAAAAAAACTTCTTTTTGTAGAATTGCAGTCAACAAATTATAAACTACTTTGCAATATCGATCCCTTTATCAGATCACTATGATGACATAACGTTTAGACCAGGGGGCATCGGAACTGCGACACCCACCCATGGAGTAAGGCCAGCACCCTAGTAAACTTTGATCAAAAAAATATACGACATCTCACCTTAGGTACTGTGAATAAAATCGTCATATATTTAGTCATGGAGGCATTGTCGTATAATTTACATGATCCGCATTCTCCACATACTTCTTCCCATACTAGGCACGATGAATCGAGAACAAGGCCAAGTATGATCGGAAGAGGAATCAAACCTAATACTCGCATGATAACCCACTGAAACAAAAATGTAAAAAAAAGTTTAATTTTTTGAATCAAGAATACATGTTTCGCATGCATAATTCATATATATATCACTGGTAAGTTATGAATAAAAATTGTACTGTATTACCTGAATTCCAATTGCGAATGATCTCTGCTCAAAGGGAACTGTTCGAAGCGATGCCTAAAACAAAAATCAGTAGATATAATAAATTACTGTACTGTAATAAGTGGTATCTTCTGGCAGCTGTATAACTTTATATTCGAGCTATAAGTCGAAGATAAACTTGTCTTTAGACATATTTGGTTTCCAAGTATATATTGTGCTGTTTTGTCTGATTTTTTGTACAAAAAAAAATGCGAATCCCAACTTTGCTCCTGAAGTATGCGCACCAAGATGTCGCATAACTTGAACTTTAACCTGGTACACATCCTGAACGCCTTTTCCCGAAGATAACATGCTCTGAAGAGCAGTCTTTTGGATTTGACAGAATCTACAAGCGATAGGGTTAAGAATGGATACATCAGAATAAAGTTAGGTTCATGAAGCTCCATAGTTAAATAAGGTTGTAAGACTTAAAATGACTTGTCATACCTGTAACGCAGGTTGGAATTTGAGAAAAGTGAAGAAAACCGCTAGTGCTCCAAAAGCTAACATTATTCCAACATCTGGGCAAGTATTTACATCACATTTTCCATTTGTTGCAGTAGAAGCGTTTAATGAAGGTATTATATCAGATTTGAAGATTTGGGTACAGTTAATGTATTCCTGTATCAACAAACAAAATTGAACATGATTATTATATTAAAATTGAGAATAAAAATATTGAAAAGAAAACAAGAGAGCTACGCCCAAATATATGGACACGTCTGTTCGCAGTACAGTACGGTTTACCGTACCGTCAGATCACAGTCTACAAATATATATATTCACACCAAGCGAAGCAGTACAGTCGGACACAAAATGGCGTCCGATGTCCGCAGAACGTTCAGTGACGTCATAGCAAACAAAAACAAATCTTACAGAGCTAACAGAAATATTTAAAATAAATAAAAGTAACAGCCTTCTGGAGAAAATTTTTATCTTCAACGACTAAAAATTTCAAAGCAATCGGTCCACTAGGTGTCCAAAAAGTGTCAAAGGACAACAAGAACAACATACCAACAAAACGATCGTTATGTCCACTAAACGTGTCCAAAAATGCTCAACATTCAACTATTTCTGATGGACAAAAATTTGGTAATTTACCGTTTTCGCGTTGAAATATTCTCAAACGTATTTCGTAATTTTAGTATTTAAGAACAATATTTTAAGTTAAACTTACATGGCACCCGAAAGCACTTCAAGTTAAGACGCCAATGTATAACAAAGTTGAATTAAAAGCTTATTTCAAACCTAATCTATTACTGCCGATTTACTATACTATATAGACTAATATTGGTTGTTTTACGGTTTACAGTCTAATCACGATACCGTAAACATCAAGTAACGATGCCGGTACATCCTTCAAGAGAGAAAATACTGCGTGAGTTAGGTTCAGGAATGGTTACATGGGCCCCAATCGACATCGAATAGCCTTTTCATAGAGGGCATATTGGGATGCTATTTGCTGACGAAGGTTCGATTTTTAGAGCTGCTTCACTAAATTGTATTACCGACCAAGCTCATTGTTCATGTAAAGACTATTTTATTAATTGACTGGGTATGGTGCTACATCGCCTCTAGACATTGGCGATCACGTTATAGTATATATACGTTGATATACCGGGACTTCATATTTAAAGTATTCACCCCGTCATCAGTTCTTATGCATCCAGCATCGCAGAATGAGAGATAAGTGAGACCATCTGCTCCACAAACTGGATCATATAACTTAACACTGCATCCACATGATCCAGAACATGAATACGTATCTTCTAAATTGTGTGGAACGTTGACGCCTGGTACCACTGGAAATGTAAATCAAAGATTAAATTGTGAAAACATTTTCTGTTTATATTCCAATGACAGTAACTATTCTTGACGTTTTTCGATATTTTATAGATTCAAATTTGAAACACGCATAGGGTGCTTGAAAAATTCTAGTTATCATGGGATTCAATTTCATGCAAATATTTTTACAGAAACTCGATCAAGAGACCAAGTAAAATTTTTATGAGGAAACAAAGAAAAATAACGATTTCTCAACTCCAGCCATCCAACATTATTCCTAAGTGGAGTTTTAAGTCAAAAATTTAATTGATCACGTTTAAGCGGCTACTAGAGAATTTTTTTAATGAATATAGAACTTTTTAGGAAGATGCGTCGCGCCTTTGCTATATGAACATCCACGTGTACGTGAGGGTGAAGACAATATATCCGAATAATATTCCCTTACTGTTTGAAAAAAAAGGTCACTCACTTGGATTTTCACACTGAAGTAAAAATATGAATAAACATCCAAAGGCTAGTGTTGAACATACAATACAAAACTTCAACATAGTAGGTACTTTCAACTTCATTTTTGATATGACGCAACCTCCAATAAGATGTGCCGAACAGGCAGACACAATCGACAAGATGCCTAGATAACGAACATAATAGCAACTTTAGTAAAATAGTGGTTATATGGGATAAACCATCCAAAAATCGTCTATTGTGAGCCTGCGTTACTTGTATAAAAACGATAAATATCACTGATATTTCGTGAAGATTATCTTCGATATTTGTTGTTACAATTTACTTGACTATATAGATAACGCGGGTCATATATAAACCATACACGATCGAAGATCAGATAGGTGAATACACATACTTGAACCTTTTGTTCAAATTACATGGCAACATCAGTGATTTTACGAAAAATGTAAACAATAATATTTTTGTCTTAAAAAGATTTGATAACATCTGCGGTAAATAATAATATGTATACTCTAATAAATTGGTCTCCTTTTAAAGCCAAATATTGAGATATAGTGAATTACCAATTTTTACCATATCAAATATCAATTTAATTAAAAGTTATGCGATCATGACCCTATAAATGTTTTTTGACGTTCGTTAGGTTCGTTTGACGAAATTTGGGTGTAAACAAAGTAAATATATAATACTCCGGTTAAAAAAGTGATTGCAAGATAATTTGCAGCTTCTCTTTGAACAAGCAACAAGTGCTCTTTTCTAAAAAGAAACTTTAAAAATGAAACTGTTATTGCCGCTTTATCATAATACTCCCAGTTTACCACACGCTGGGTGAGGGGGCAGGGGGCTTGAATGCGAACCCTAACATTGAACGCAAAATCTCTGAGATGAGTTGCCGACATATATATGTCATGAGGCCAAAGAGTTTATGACTGGATTTAGGCTTTGATTTTCGAAGCCGATTTTTAAAAAGTTTGCTTAAGAATTAAGTCTATAATAAGATGTAAAACGTGCATAAAAATACGTCATAAATAAAATAGTCATCATACAATCATCAAAACAAAAATCGAGTTCAACTTGTCAATTCCATACAATAATAGTAATAACTTCAATGTAATTTTAAAATTTTGGCTTAAAATATCCGAAAGGAGCCAAAATGTCTGATCTACCCAATTAAAATGATTAAGCATTACTCAGACATGCAAAATCCTTACCAAAATATAAAGCTGCTTTTGATGCTGGCAACCGAAACATTGCTTCTGTGTATTTTGGGCCAAATGTTGCAAGTGCAATTACGAGTCCTGAGTCCATCGCCCCGGCAACAGATAAGAAAACCAAAGTAATATTCTTCAATACAACCTTCAAACAACGAGGAATGTCTTTGGCACTGTAAAAAATTAGAACAATTTTTGAGAATTTTTTTTTACAAAACATAAAAATGTCGTAATAATATTGGTACAAAAAAAAATGGAGGAATCGTACAGGCACAAGTAGACATCGTCATTAGAGTTTCAAATACAACCTTTCATGCGGCCGTATGTTGTGCAGCCATTCGTTAGAACATCGTCAAAGCTTCGTCAAGTCAAGTGAGAATCAAGTAAAAAGATTTGTGGGAATCTCAAATATTTTGCTTTCGAGAAAATTAGATATTTTGACAGTGGTCTAAAATGTCTGTCCAAAACCCAGTGATTTGTTTACAGTCGAACCGCTGTTACCAAAGAAATTTTCCATGCATTAGTATTAGCAAGTCCGTAAGATACCACAGAAAAATATTAAAGTATGGAAAACAGAGAACCCACCTTTTCCCAAAATTCGCATCTTTCTTAGCCTGAATCGCATCGGAATTCTGGTTCATTTCCTGTTCGCGATCTAGGCGATACTTTGATGTACCAGGAAGTTGTTTTGGATATAATAATATTGGTAATGATATTAATATCGCCAGGCCTCCAGTGAATATAAAACCCAGCCACCAGTTTCCCATCCATAACGAACTGTCTTCAGTAATGTCAACTCTGAGAAAACATTAAAAGTCAGAATTATAATTTTGCTTTTTTATGTTCATGCATTGCATGGATTTGTGGGGTATATTACACTTATAACAAGGGTCCTGACAAGCAGTCAGTAATAGGTAGGGAGTAACCTTATTTTTTCCAAACCTTCCAAGGCACTGTGCAGGGACCACCGATATATACTATTTTTAAATGGAAGAAATCTATCCTGTTTGGCATTGCTGATTTGTTATATCCTAGGGTGGACAAGGAAATAGAATCAGTGTTGTGTAATCCGCAATACCAATACGGTTAAGTTTAACGCACAACGTCCACTTATTCTGGAAGTAGTGGTATCTTTTCAGTTTGGCCTTGTCTATTTTGGTTTGAACGGAAGCTTTTCTATATTCAAAGTGAGATTCAGTAGTAAATGTGATGAACAGTGAAACTTGGCGTAAGAGTTTCAATCAGAGGGCAACAAATGTATAGCACAGCCTAAATATCTGCAATTGACAACTTTCAGACCGAAAGTTGGGAAAAAACGGGTTTAAAGGCCAAATTATAGAATCGCGAGTTGCTACATAAGCCGTATAAAGCATAGATCGTGTTGATTATTTCTAACTTTGGAAGTTATGTAATACGAAATGTAATCTTATGTAAATTTAGTATCCATTTAAATTTTGACTTACTTTTCATCAATATTGACATAAAAACGAATAAAAAATCCTCCCAATAAATATCCAATACCTGGTCCAGCGACAGAAAAAGCAAAAAGTATACCTGAAATATGAAGTTAAACTGAGTAATTGCAGAGAACCGACTGGGACAGTAGACATGAAGTAAAATAAAAAAAAATTTTTCAAGAAGACTTTGCTCGAAGCAAGGTTTCGATAGCACTTTCAGTAAGTAAATGAGACTCTATGGTGGGCAAAGTTAGGAGAAAACACTAAAATGTCAAGCGGTATTGAAACCACAGGAATTTATAGTGCCAAGTAAAGAAGTTTCTGTCAATGTGGTCAGGATAACACCATGAGATTGTGAATTTCAAATAACTAAAGTTTATGGTAATAGTTCTTTGTCTAGTCTATAAGTGCAATGGTCGGCAAATTATACGTTTGGTCGCGAATCAAAATAAGACTCACAAATTCGCAAGATTCGAATGTTTGAGTGCCATTTTGCTAGAAATTAATTTAGTTTGAGTAGCTCACTCAAAAATTGATATCGTCGTTTGTTACATTTCTTATTTATCATGCTGTTAAGCCGTTTTCACAATTAATTAACTTGATGTTAATTTAAATTTTTAATTTATGACAATACTAAAATTTATTTGAACATTTCGCCTTATTATACTTACTCTGCGCAAGATGCGATGTATAGCACTGACAGACTACTACGAACATTAAGTATTTAATGATATATTGGATATAAATGGCTCAATGCAATTTCATATGCATTCACTCAGAAGAAAAAGAGGTGATTACCGGGCAAAGATACGTTAGGACACGAAGACCCGATAGCTATCATCGCTATAATGTAATATAGCGGAAAATTACACTTTGGTAAATAACGACAATTGATAGGACGGCCCTTGGTACACAGGACAATAAACAGATGATAGCTCACAGCCATGATTTTTGAAAAATTATAAATCGTTTTTATCAGCACTATTTACCGTGATAAGTAGAGGAAGATGTTTCTTTCACATTTGCATCAAGATAAGTGACTCCAAGTGTAAACAATCCAGAAGCCCCGATACCGTGTAATATATTGCCGAGAATAAAGAATCCCCTGCAATACCAATTGAAAATTCAATTCAAAAAAATAAAGTTGGAAATGATATAGAATACTACATCTTAAAGCTACGTGAATCACTAATCTAAAATAATCAGCTAATGCACATAAAAAGCTTGGAATTCTTTCACACGGCCAGCATATATTCTAAGCATTTCTCGTTCATAAGTTGTTTAGAAATTTAAAGGTTTGAGACAATTTCATTACAAAACCGATATGACATACATTCTGAAATACATTGAAATATTAATTAAATTTACTTTTACTACAAGAACTCTACCTGTAAACTCTCATATACGACTCTCCGCATTCGGTATTAGAAGCATTATCTCCACAAATGTACGATTGAGCCTCGTTGATTGAGTATTTTGGGGCAATAAAATGTGGCAACGAGAATGTGAGCGAGCCCAAACCCATGATGAACACACCCCATCCAATCCACAAGGGTTTGTGGCCCCGCCCTCCAATAAAAGTCACCACGGACACTGCGATGAGGAATCCAAGATCATAACAACCGGCGATGAATCCGGTCTCGGAACTTTTGAGATGAAACCTATATGTAAAGGACATAAGAAAAATGTAAGTTTATTCGTATATTGGTTCTTTGTTGTTTCGATAATAGCATGTTTTTTGTTCGTCTCAACAGAAGGGCTATTCAGAAACGTTAATAGGCACGATGTGTACATATTAATCGTTTCGATAAATTGCTGTTTTTGTTGTTGTTGTTGTTGTTGTGAAAAAAAAAAACTTTCCTCCTGAACTAATGGGCAAATCGATTGTTATAAATATGGCGATGTAGTATTCGAGTAGTGGACAAGTTGTCTATAGTTAGGATAGGGATTTTGTCTCTGCGCATCGATGAAAAGGAAGTGGATAAGAAGGTTTAATTATATTGTGAACAACGACCTCTCAAACAGCTAACAATCCAATGAGCTCAACATTATTCAAGATTCTACATTATTAGTAATTCCTTCGTTAATCTCGTAAAAAATACGTTCGCTTAGGCTAAGAAAGTTTTGTTTTTCAAGCACCGGTCTGTATACGTTAAGTTATACAGCGATATATGTGTAAGATTGAACCCCCAAGTTAAAAGTGCAGTTTCGAATTTCAAAGTATATATCAGGTGTTACGACCTTACAGAAAAATATTGGTATATATTTTATTCCTAAACACGCAGCGATGTTGCACCTGTAAGCTTATTAGACATTAAGTGTACATATTGATCATTTTGCAATTGTGTTGTTACTGATCTTGTTGATATTTCTTTTCTTTTAATTGTTACGAAAAAATGGACTTTCACTTAAATTACTGAAACAATTGCATTGAATTTTCATTGGTTAAAGGTTGTATTTGTCGATAGAAGGCTATTACTTTTATTTATTTTTAAAATTTCTGTGGGCTCTCTGGGATTCGATTTTTGTGTGTGATGAAGTCATCGAAAATAAAAATCGCGCATCTTGTGGCGGTTCCGCGATCGCGTTCGTTGCTATATAGTATTCAGGCTAAGTCATAAATACGGCGGCACCGGTAGTCTACCGAGAAAAATGGCATACTTGTACTACTTCGTTTCGACCTTCGTGCCTATATGATTGTCATCGTATACTTTTATCATATCATATAATATATTACAGTAAGGAATCAGGTAACCTGTGTGGTCTGTGGTCTTACCGAGATTTGACCTATTTTAGTTTTCCGTGTAATGATATGATCTCTTCTCTTTACGTGGTTAAAAAAAATTACAGCTTTGTCAAAAAATAATAGGGTCCTATCATCATAATTCAGCGTGTATGAAAAGCTAGAGCACACAAGAGTGAATAAAACAAAAAAACAATACGTTTTACCTAACCATCTTGCGTTGCCTATATGAGTTCAGTTTGTAACTGTGATAAAACGTAATTTTACTCTGCTATAAATTTATTGGACACGAAATGGATGGATCGTTTTGGCATTACGTTGTTGTTTTCGTTCATGTTCATTTTCTTGTTAGTTATTTTCTACTTTCGCTTTTATCAATTTTTTCCCACATTTAGTGTTTGTGAATCTTATACACTAGGAATTGAGAAATAGGTTTTTGTGGTGAAAAAAAGAATAAATAAATTGAATGAAATTTTTAAAAATAATCATATTCTCTTTAAATTGAACTATCATATTGCCAATTGGAAAACCAAATATCTCGTAATTAGCACGATAATAATCAGCTCGCGGCAAATAAAATAGCACCCTCTGCTTGATTGTATTATAATAGTTTATAATGACGCAATTTAAAATCAAAAGAAACGTATGATTGATTTATAGATGGACGTTAAAAATGGGATTTGGTGAATACGTATTTCTAACTGAGTAAAATTCTATAATCTACATAATATACAATTCCAATACAATTGTGTAATGTGAAATGATACATTTTCACTGACCTTTTTTCCAGCGTGCTGATGACAATGTTGACAATACCGTTAACAGCCATGCCTTGAAGAAATATAGCAAAGCATAGAAAAGCAAGAATTCCTTTAGCATTGTTACAGCAGTTTAAAAACCGAAGTGCAACCCTGCAAAAAATAAAGAATTATTTTCACTATTTATAGTAGTCAACATTTTTTCGTTATGTTCTGGTTTTAAAAAATTGTTTTTGTATGTTCAATTCCTTGAATGAAGTTCAGTGATGCAAACTAAGTCATGGTCAAATTATGTCATTTTCCAAGCCTATTACAAATGAGTTAAACCAGAACATCTTTGTTTTTCATTCTTAGTAGCTTTACTGGGATCAGTGGTCGTTTTATAACACTATCTTCAGAGCAGAGGAGTGAAATTGTTCCATACAAAATTACAATAAATGAGCGCAAATAAAAATTCACGTGATGGAGAATGATTTTGTCCCGAAACAAAGAAATTTATTTGTTAAAAGCCGTATATAAAATGTCAGGTACATGTAGAATATAAATACAATATATGGGCTATTAACGGTTTGAATGACACATGCAGCTCTACATATGTTTGTATATATGTTACTCTACATATGTTTGTATATATGTTACGTAACGGTTTAGTGTTCACCGATATAAAACGGATGAATATAAGCCATTTTTATAATGACCTAAATTAAATCCCCCTCTTAAAATTTTTCGTATCACATGACTGTTAAAGTATAAAACGAAACAATGTATTTCATCTATTCTTTCATCTCGTTGAGTTATGACTTCATTTTGATGCCATGACATGTGTGTGCCGTCATAACACTCTATCAGCTGATACTTGACCGGGTCAGTACAAGAAAAAACTGGCCTCGTCACGACAAGGTGAATAATGCACATTTATGCCGAGTTATGTAATATTATTTGTAACATAAAGGGCATATGAAATGATTTATAAGAGTCATACTTGATTATGTTTAATTCATAGACCCGATGTCAAATACGCCGCATAAAATGTGAGTCATGTGACGTCATTAGTTCCAAAATAAGTTACGGAAACAGGTAAATAGAAAAGAGAATTTATCACATAAAATTGTCAACATTTTCATGGTAAAATACAATTTTGTGGAAATTTAAAATTAAAATTTTGGAAAATGTATTTATGTAAAATGCATTGTTCTGACAATTTCATAACTTCCATTTATTTATAATGTTTACACGTCACCAGGTTTCTGGGAGTAATAAGACAGATATTCAATTTGGTTTTAATATACAATTTGAATTAAATTTCTTAAAACAGAATTTTGCTATTCTTAAAGATTCGCCCGAATGAACTATATATGTATATATATAGTCGCCTATAGAATTAGAAAATACTTTTGTACCGCCACATAAATATCACGCAATCCTTGTTAATATTGATACCGAATTAAAATGTTATTCATCTTTGGTATATTCTGGCGCCTCATGAATTCGGTACTCTAAACCAGGGTTATAAAGCAATGGTCCCAGGATGGGAAACCCTGCTTTCGACAAAAGTATATAGGTAATTAATTATTAATCGACAAAATATTACTAACTTTGCAATTTAATTATCGCACACTTTTTGCAATAGCTTATGTAGTTCTTAGAACTTGGTAATAAAATTTAAAATGTCGGCGTTAGGGTCACTTAATGTCTGTCTGAAGTTAGTTTCTCTTTTCGAAAATGGGTTTTCTTTGCTTTTGTTGTATTTGATATATATTTCTAATTTGCATATTATTTTAACAAACGAAATACCGATTGGTTTTAGTTGAATTTCGATTGCGTCATCAATAAGAAATTGATTGATAGATTGATTGGTCGAATAGCATTAGACGCGGGAATAGCAGACAAACGTCCACGTGCATCTCTGCAAAGAATACGTAAATAATAAAAAAATAAATAAAATCTTGGTTAGAGGAAAGGGCCAACCCACGTCTCATTCTTTCAATTGCAAATCAGATCAAGGCACGTCAGCACACAATTTCCAAATGCGCATTTCTATGACGGCAATAAAATTACTACAAACTCAAGTATATTTTTTTTAACTTTTTTCATCAAAAAATGTAAATTTTGTTATAGCGTTTAACGTAATCCAATTTAAACACGATACAATTTCTGACAAAATTATAGTCTTTAAGAATGTAAAACAAGGTATTTCCTCATAATTATATGAAGTTTCATGTCGAAATGGAGTTGGAATTGAAAGTAGGTCGCATTCCGCTTCTAAATTAAATCAGCCCAGCTGCGCTATGAAACTAGAAAATTAATGTTGGGTAATTAATCTTGTATGTTCACAATGGCAGCATTGCGTATTGTGTTTAACATTTTGCCCAATTGCAATCAATATTCTACTAACACTATTCTGTAAAGTATATTTTTTCCGCAGAGTTAGTAAGCATATTGTCATTTTATTTATTCGTTGAAAGTAGCGCAATGTTATGAAATTATTACCGGGTTAGGTGGTCAATGTCGTATCGATTGGGTTCTGCGGGACCAACTATACCATGCTTTTATCCTGATGGATCTGTATGTTCATAAAGCATGGATACTCTAACAAATAGAATATAACTCCCAACTTCAAGTGAGTCTCGTTGCGCACTAACAGAAATATACTTCTGTCAGGTTTCGTCCGGCTGAAATCAACTATGATCGGATAAATATGATTACCTTTAATAAGAAACTTGATTTTTGAACCGCTTTGTATTTGATTACCGCCAAATATTAGTCGCAAATTAATTAATTAATGACTTCATTGATATATTCAACGTTTTCTCGATATTGCATGTATTTTCATCAATGTTCAGAATGTTTCGCAGTACTATATATAGAGTTCGTATTATAGTTCCACGTCAAGATTAATTATATATTATTTGAAGGGTAATAAATTAGTTTGTGGATAGCGATGAACTTAATTTCTAAGAATTTTACATTCCTAACGCCAACATTTTGTCAAACTACGGAAAGAAAGTATTAAGTTATTGCCCCAATAAATCAACAAACGCATTCGATCAAGAACTTCATGTCGTTTCGAGCACATTCACATAATATATTCTAATATTTCAACGTCAAAATTATATATTGTTTTAGCATGACTGGCATAAAATATTTTATATATACAATTAATTACAATATATTAAAAGTATCTAATATGTGACGAAGGTCAACGACTTCAATTTAAAAATTTCGCGACAAATAAATATTGTATTATGCGTCGAATTTGGGCTGATATACTCCACCCACTATTCGCGTATTATGGGGTTAAATGGGGAACTAAATACGATATCGATTCAGGTTGTAGCAGGGCTTGTAATCAAAACTAACCGCTTGGCTATACAACAAAAATAGTGATTAAGTAAAAATAAAAATTATCACCTCTTTGATTTGCATTTTCCGAAACATATTTCCAATCCACAACTCTCTTCGTCCGTAATACAAGGCGATGGTTGCATTTTATTTGTCTTCTCTTTTGTAAAATCATCAAAATCGCCACCATTCTTTTCTTTTTCTACTTTATAAATATTTTCAGTCGACGTTACCTTTTCATTTGCGTCCATTTTTATTTATGTTGAATCTTCACTATGAGATAATGCAGTTTCAGTCTGGCATAAAACGAGGTTTGAGCACGTATTTTTCTAGGAATGAAGCTTCTAGTAGTCTATAAGCTGTAAGTCGTGCGAAAATGGATAAAATAACCGCAATTTTAGTTAAAAAAATTTTGAAAATATGTAATTTGATTATCTTTTTAGACGTATGCCCCATAGTTAATTTGCACTTCCAAGATGTCTACCTTTTTATGACCATACTTGGTAGATGAACGGATTGAAAAAATGAGAGAATGAAATGCAGAAATCATCTTTCGAAACTTAGTATTTATCTAGCTGTCTACCTGCGCGTAAGAGATTAAAATAACGTTTCCGTAAGTACTTGATAACCTATGCTTGAGTACCCTTTTAGGTCAAGTACAATGAATGAAATATTGGAGATATGTACATGCATAGAATGAGAAACAGACTTAGCTTGTAACATTCTTTTCGCTTCCACAAGTTTAGATCCTTCAAATTTAAAATTGAAAAAAAAAAAAAATTATGACGAATATTTAGGCAAAAAAATTATACAATTATAAAGTTTTACACATTTTCCTGAATTAGGCCTCAAACAAGAAGTCACTCCGGTGTCCGGTACTGGACACCTATTAGAATAGTTTTCTTCAGAATAACCTATCTGTCATGCGATTAAAGCCGATCTTCAAGTTCCGAAATCGACACGATCGGGCCAACGCGCTGACTGCAAGACTAAGGCACTGCACTCATTTCGTTCACGGACCAATATTTCAACTGATTTTTTCAATCGATTATAGGTTTTAGCATCTGGCTAATTTGGCTCGTTCGATCGAAACATTTACAGAAAACCTATTGCTATGATTGTTGAATATGGTCGGCAAATAATCTTCAGTCGTTCCGGAGAATAAGCTTATGAAACTTGAGTTACAAATGCAGTACTTTTCTGTACAAAAAATTCTAAGAAAATTGGCTGATTTATATACTATCAATCCAATACTAAAACTTTAATTGTAGTTTTAAGCAAATTCACTACAAGTACTTCACATCAAAGATATCTTTTCTAACTGAATAGGCGGGTGTTTAATTAAGTACTGGTTAATTACTTCACTTATAAGAAAATTATACATTCCGTTTAAGACCGAAAATGGATAAAATTTTTACAACGCGATTTTTCGACCACGCACCTGCGTACGGATGAACGAAAACGCCCATTTTAACGTAGCGCAAATTTGAACAATCTCGGTTGTGCTCAAAATTAGCGATGTATGGACAAAGTAAAAGACGGTGGTTTGGGTTAAAACCATTATTTTGAGACCAAAATCGGTAAAATTTACAAGTTTCAACTTTTTGTCGCATGGAAGCAATTTTTAAAACTTTTCACAAATTTTTTTCAATCTATCACTGACAGCTGGAGAAATAAATACTTGTAAAAGTACTTGAAATCCGGTTTATAAACCGCAGTATCGACCGCAAACTCGCATCTCCAAACATGACTAATCACCTTGAAAGATTGTTTTCAGATATAACAACTTCGCTCGGAACTTCGCTGAAATGCGTTATACGGCACTCTAGCTATCCGCGACAGTTAACACGCTAAGAAAAATCTAAAAAAAAATCTTGAAATTTTTTGACTTTAAAATCTCAGAAGTAATCTTTATTTATTTTCGACCATATCCCAGGAAACGATGTTCTTTCTAGTGTGATAGGAAGATTATCCTTTAACGCTCACAGAATCGCGTAACTACCATTTCAGTATAATGCCGTCAGCATACTTTACATTTCAGAAGGTATTTAACAATTATACTCCTACGTGTTTACGCCATTTATTTGCGTCAGGTATTCAATGCTTTAGTTTCGAGTAGGTAAAAATAAAAATCAGTTCGGTACATACTCAAAACATGGATGAACCACAAGCGTTTCGGATGATCTATGAAACATACAACTCATAACAACAATTCCTAATTTATCGACTAAGAACCATCATTTAATAAATACCGATATGTCAGAATATGCTTGTCTGAAGAATTCCGAGGTTGACCACGATGAGATAAAACGCTTCAGAAATACATCTGTGTTTATAGAAAGCAAGAAATCTGAATTACTGCTTTATGAAGAAACTAGAAATTATTCATTGCAAAACTTACCCACATTTCACCGTAATTCAATTTGAATGCATATATCATTGCGATTTTGTTTTATATTCAAATTGTACTCAAGATTCTCCCACATATGCCAAGGAGCACTATATCAAAAGCAATACCTCAAACGCCAATTAAACTGTGTATTAACTTTTTCACAAGCCAATGTGATATTTTACACAAATATTCAAAACACATCAATCAATTTGTGAAAACAACAACAAAAATCACCTCCCTAAAATAGGTAATCAACTGGGAAGTTGAACAATAATTCCGGGCTGGTGCTCCTCACAAAAGTCAACTGATCAGTAACTAACTTTATTGTTCAATAACTGAGTCAAAGTTTTACAAGAGCGCGTATACACGTACATTGTCACAAAACACGACAAGGTTTCCCCACGCTAAGAAGTTATAATAAAACAATAATGAGTTTTTAAGTATGATTACGATTTTAATATTCGTTCAACACCTAATTAAGACTGACACGCAATAGTTATAGCCGTTAGAATTTATCCGGGGCATGTCATATAATCTATATATATTTATTTTTATTAATTTCAACTACGTTTATGCATTAAATATTAGAAAAAAATGATATCGTTCCTTTTACGTTTATTTGCTTTTCTCGATGCGATATTTGAAAGATAAGTGTTTAAATTCGCTTTCATTTATTCTTCTATTGTAAAATTTTGAAAAAACGTTTATTGCAAAATAAAAACAGCTACACTTTGAAAATGTCATTTTATAAACGCACCGTCTTCTTAACATCTTTTCTGCAAACTGTATTTTTCTTTTTTTTTGGACAGAAATTTACGAAAAAGGCGGCACGACAACTCGATCAAAAGAAAAAAGAGAAAAAAAAATACGATTGAATACGTTGTAAAATTTTACTCATTTTTGACTTTGTACTATACTAGCTCATTTATTTTGAAACCTGAAATATTTATTTTACTGCAGCATTTTAGGTGAACATTTCAGTTCAAATCAAAAAACTAGTCGTTTCACATTACCATAACCAGTGGCTCAACAATTGCAAAATAGAAGTCATATTTTTGTTACAGCTTATAATTGATAACAAATTATTCATAACATTCGAAACGAAAGAGAAATGCTGTCAAACTTAGTCACGTATTGAAACCGAGACAAAATATGATCGCAATTATAAGCAAATTTCAGCAAATGAGATATCCGTGACTGTAATAATAATAAACAATTCTAAATTGGATAATTAAATTTGTTTCGAGCCATTGTGACTATCCTAAAATTAACAGATACTTGTAAATCAGTGGGTGCTTCTACAGAGCCGTGTTTGGAGTGAAGGCATGGAAACGCCCTATAAAATATCTTCAATAAATCCCAAAAAATTTCTCGTTTTTTTTCCACGAAATATAATAAATTATAATTTCCTTCTATATACTAAATCCAAAAAACAAACATTCTTCCAATTACTTTTACCAAGCATGAATAATACTAAATCAAGCTTATTGTCCTTTATTTTGTGTGGGTTATGTTCAGGGTTTGATATATTAAATTTATTTGACTTTGAAGACAATATAGACTAATCACATGGCACCAGACTTTAATAACTTCATAAGCAATTTGTTTATCCATAAATATCGTAAATTTAAATAGTATTTTGCGGTGATTATAGTTAGCAATATTTTAGAAATGTCTTATTTTCTAGTATCCGGGATCAGGTACGAATATTTGATAAAGAATAATAATTTAAATCAGCACTTACGCATAACTGGTAAAGACAAACAAAAAATAATTTCAACGTTTTGAAACTATTCCCTACTAAATGATGGAAAAGGCAACATTTCTCATTTTTTCAAACAGTGTCTACTTAATTAAAATTGAGATTGTTTTAGGAAATTGTTTATGAACAATTTGAATATGCAATAATCTATATAAAACAAGTACAATAAATAATTTAATTAGGACCAATATATTCAGAAAAGCTATTTCCTAAACGATCCAATCTATTAGTATATGACAACAACAGAGACAAGTAATACGCACGTGACGTTAATTTCAACTCTTTTATATTACTTTCGTTTTCTAAATTGTTTATCAAACTATAAAGCTATTCGCGGAAGTTCCCATTACTAATGTTTCCACATTAACACATTTTCTCATTTAGTTATTTCGTTTCGCTAAAATGAAAACCCCCAATATGTAATTTGAATCTCGAAACCTATAAATTATATGACCATATAAACGTTTTCATGAATTTAATTTGTTTTCAATCGAATCAAAATAAACAATAATGAAGCCAATAGAAGACACCAGCTGGTTTTGATACTTCTGTTAAACTGAATCCTACCAATAGGCAACAGAGGATGAAATTGTTTAAAAGTATTCATCTGAATGTTGTGTATCATAATTTTTTTAGGCGCGAGACAGAAACGAATTCCATGTAATCCTAGAGCTTACCCAAATAAGTTTAAATTAAATCGAATCACAAAATATATTTACTCGGCAATACACATAAATTACTGTGTTCTGAACAGTCTTTGTTTGTATCGAGATATCTATATTTGTGGGAATCAAATTATTTCTGGCAAATATAGAACAACCTTCTGAATCAAATTTAAATCAATTTAAAATAATAAACCAATAATTTGGATTTCTGTATAGCACATATAAACCAATATTTCCTAAAACTTATAAAAGGTATCAAATGTTTTTTTTATAATTATTCTCGATTAAAGTCTAGCAATTTTAAATAAATGAAATTTGGATTGTCATACTTTGAATTAACGATGGACGACGGTGGACAAAATAAATATACCTAAGTTTCGAATGTCAAGAATAGCGTATAGTATTTCTGGTTTGGCTTGGTTTGTATAACAACGTAAGGTGTAAGAGGAAACAGATTTTAAAATATAATTCCACGGGTTTTATCGGCGAAGGTCAATTTAGGGCACAATTATTTGTTTCAATTATCCGTCAGTTAATCTTAAAGTCAGTTAGA